TGAAACAAGGGTATGCGCCTTTTGCCACACATAGAGAAGGAAAAGTAAAACTGATTGCAACCCTGCCGGGACCTTTCTTTCGTAAACAGATGCCTTGTCCCTTAGGCCACAGGGTCTTCACACAAAAATTAGATAAAGTCTTTAATTAAAGAAGGACATCCTGGACGGACGTCTTTTCTGGTTTGCGACCGTCCATGATTGCCTTGCTTGCGTGGCAGCGTGACACCTTTTTCTTGTGACGTTATTCCTTAGGTGACATTTCAAGTTTTCACCCTTTTTGCCATTCCCGAAATTTGATTGGTCAATTAATGTCACGTGGTACAAAATACTTTTTCCTTAATGGCTACCACCTCAACCACCGACATATACTACTGCCGTGCTATTGTCTGAGGCTTGATTACATCGCCCTCCCCAAATCCCGGAAGGAAATCCACTCAGTTTCTGTTTTTATTTGTTTCTACTCTCTCCTCACCTTTACTTATTCAAAATAATACGCTATGCCTGTTCCTAATACGCTGTGCCTATTCCTAATAAGCTGTTCCTGGTCCTAATACGCTGTGCCTATTCCTAATAAGCTGTGCCTGGTCCTAATACGCTGTTCCTGTTGCTAATACGCTGTGCCTATTCCTAATAAGCTGTGCCTGGTCCTAATACGCTGTGCCTATTCCTAATAAGCTGTGCCTGGTCCTAATACGCTGTGCCTGTTCCTATTACGCTGTGCCTGTTCCTAATTATAAGAAGCTGTGCCCATTCCTAATAAGCTGTGCCTATTTGGAACTGGATTTTGACCCTGATCCCGCTTTATATTGGAGTGTCAGGCTCATGAAGTTGGTTGGTGGTTTCACCTTTACTAGTTCTCTCGCCTGTAAGTTCACTCTTAAAAAGACTTGTCTTCATTTCCAACAGTCAAATTTTTCTCATCATTGTTATCATCGCTGTGCACTCATGAGAAAGAACTTACAAGAAAGTTTTCATCAGAATCATCATTGCTTTCTCCAGAACACAATCAAATCCTTCTCTTACTTTTACATACAACAGCCCCTGCCCAACCATTTTCTTCACAACAGAGTAGTTATATTTTTAATTACGACCAAGCTCCAGTTATTTTCTTTTGATAAACTTTCACAAATTCAAAGCCATTGGGTCCTATGACCTAAAATTCATTGCTGGCAGATTCTTTAATAGAATTTCGCACAGATTCTTCACTGTCCTCTTCATCCAAAATTATCATACATGTAGTGAGGATTTGAAAAGCATGACACTTAGTTGGCCAAAATGTGATTCTTTGAACTCGAGATAACTAGTGGATCAATCGTATCCTACCTATGTAACAATTTCAAAAGTTATTTAGCAAGCCTGTGTTTTCCGGTCACACCAAAATATATGTAGCACAATGAGGTACCTACTATTCCTCACGACTTGAAGTACTGCTCCTTATCAGAAGTATAATTTTAGGTAAGACATGATCACAACGCACACCTCAGGAAATTATGACTGTATTAATTGTTTACCTGCAGAATTCAAGTCAAATAGGACTAAAGATCGTTATCACCTATCCCAGCCAATTTAACTGAATAATTGTGCATAGTTTGAGTCGTTCAAATTGTTTGTTCTGTATGTGAGCAACCACACACCTGACTGAAAACTATAAATTTCCTCATATAGGCATCCAAACCGGTGCCACTACTGCAGAAAATGCAATGTCAAAGTCCCCTTTTGACTTAAGTCTCATTTCTCTAAACTCTGATAGGTGTAAATCATCCATTTTCATAAAGAGATCAACAAACCTCTCCACATTTGTTTAATCTGACCTCACTAGTCTTGTTCCCGGGGAAAAAAGGCTTTTGGAAATGTTTGCTTTTCATCCTTACAGTTAATATCAGTCGTACTGGTTCTTGTTGTTTGGCTTGTAATAATAAGAGTCTTTTCAGACCAACGGATTGTCAAACAACTCTTGTAATTTAATAGGTTGGAGAATAAGGTTGCAAAGAGTATACATGATTTTTTTGTGCAATTGAAATGATAAATGAATAAAATAATTATTGGGAAATAATTGATCAATTTAACTATTCATTTTACAACTGGAGGCCCAAACTAGTGCTTGTTTTAATTCACAATTTCCTCACATTGTTGATCAGATCTGATCATATTTCCGAGGCTGATGATTGAAAAGAGTTTTGCTTACTCCGCACTCTAACACGCTCTCCTTTGAACTAGCAACCGTATCTCGAGTACTAACATTGTCTTACTTTTCTTTACTCGACATTGACATTTTTTTTTTCCCGGTCACAACCGCCTGATTCATGTCAAAAAAAAAAACTTTTGGAACAAAATATAAACTTCTGTAAACTTTTATTTTTCGCTAAAATTGCAATTACGTGGCACTAGCAGTATAGTTGAAGCTCTACAAAACGCTCACAGTTAAGTGAGTACTTTAAATGATCAACGGTAACGGGAGATAGCAATGACATGATAAAAGTATGCGATTCAATACATTTGTGCTCTTCGACAGGCCTCTTGCATCCTTTACAAATAAAATAATCTACGTCGATCGCCAACACAATCATAAAACAAGACTCGGAAGTCGTTTGCATAATCTTTTGCTTTTTGAAAATCACTTCCTTCCACACACCCAACAGCAATTTAGGACTTTGACGCCTCCATCTATGTAACAGAGGGAAAAATGTCAAGAAAGGTTGTCTAAAATACTCGATCTTTGTTGTTTTCCGAAGTATTTTCCTGCTTCTTTTCTTTGGCGATTCTTGAGCGGGAAACCGACGTAGGCGCATACTGGCATTAGTCTTAGCTCATCAAAAAAAAAAAAAGAAAGGAATCAAAAAAGAAAAAAACACTCGTTCCCATAGGTCACGTTCCTTGTATTTTTTAGGGACGAGACTGCAAGTTTTGTGTAAGATGACTTACATGTGGCAGGACTATCACTGAGTGAACTTGGCAGCACGCATTCGACTCTGGCATAAGGACATGTTGGGACGCTCATTATCTATTAAAACAGTCAATTTAAGAGGAAAATTTTATTACCAGGGTTAACAGAAAAATGGACAGAATACTAGTATATTTTTCATTGTTTCAGATCTATTTTGAGTAAACGGATATCTCTAGCCATCTTAATTCTCATCATCGTTGCTATCATGATTATCACTGTTATCATTATCATCATCAACGTCTTTGTTTCGTCATCAGCAGTGTATCAGAGTCTAGAACAACCATGACGGCGAGCAAAACTTTTAAAGTAAATTTTCAGCGAAAGTCAAGGAAAACTTATTCTTGTGCTCCTTGTGAACAAAAAGGTTTGTAAGTCCCTCGTTATCGCATGGATCCGAGCTCTCACCCCATTAACGAACTCTAGAACTGCTAACTTTTCAGTATCCTGTTTTGTCCTCTCCCACCTCAACTCAGCGGAGGTACTTGATCCCAACATTCAGAGACCAGTCATTTTTAATCACTTAGAGGGAGTCGGAGGATTTTGGTTGTCTCGATAATTTTATTCTTATGATCCTTTCCCCCCCTCTCAATGGCAGTTGAGAGGGGGGAAGGGTTGTTGGCGACGACTGATAACCCTCCGTTCCCCCTGAAAACCATGTGATGCCAAAAAATCCTTTACCCCTCCTCCCCCAGGAGATAAGGGTCAGACATTTAATAATTAAATATATTCGACGATAAAAATTAAAAGTTTGCGGCTTAGCAGAGCTTTACACGCAGTTCTAACTATCAACAGTCCATGGTGGACCTTACTGCTTAAAGAAACATAGATAGATGGCTATAGGCCTCTAACCACGCTGCTACAACTGACCCCAAAACAAGAGATCCAGGTTTGATTTCCGGGAGGAACTGGGCAATATATGCAACTTTTACAATGCTTGCCCCCTTCCCAGGAATATGCCTGGTGAGGAACCCAACGATGAACTGGATCTTCATCCACCGCACGACAGAAATACTCGTTTCACCTCGAATCAAATCAAGCTTTTTCAAGTTTAAAGGCACAAGACCTGAATTACTTTATTGAGTTTATCATGGAAAACAAGTCATACACCATCCATGGTTACTATACAGTGAAAACTTGGTCAGTTAAATATATGTTCACCTTTAACATTTGCAGTATATAAAATATGATCTCTCTATATATAAAATTTACTAGAGTGTCTCTGTTCAAAAATATTTTAATCTTTGCTTATATCTGTCGTTGATCGTATATAACCTACTATATATATAATCTACTAGAGTGTCTCTGTTCAAAATAATTTAATCTTTGCTTACATCTGTCTTTAGTATTATTTTTCCGCAAATTAATGGCAGACGCAAAGTCTTGATTTAAGATGTAGTTAATTTGGCCGCCATTTCAAGTTAGCTTGGAGGTGGAATAATCGCTACAGGAATATGAGCATGATGCAAACAATAGTCACTGACACTACCAAGGAATGTCCGCCGCAGTGTTCCACAGCCACGGGAACCCACGACGATGAAATGCGCATCTTCTTCGTTTGCCACTTTACAGATCGCTTCTCCAGGTTTGCAACTTTCCTCCTTGAACAACTTGTAATTAAGCTGTCAGAACATAGCAATACAAAACTACTTTCAGGATGTCTTATTTTAAATCGCACTTATAAGATGGTTTTAAACAAAGGAAAAAAACAACCGCAACCTCAACTAAAAGTAGTCGTAACAGATAATTTAGTATTAACAACTGGGACGAAAACGTAAATTGTCCACCGTAAAGAGTTTAAAGGCTGACGTTTCGAGCGTTAGCCCTTCGTCAGAGCGATTGACGAAGAGCTAACGCCCGAAACGTCAGCCTTTAAACTCTTTACGGTGGCCAATTTACGTTATCAACTCAGCTGATAATACTAAATTACCTGCTATACTCTCCCACCGACGCAGCACTACAATTTCTTTAAAAACTTACCCCCTTTAATATTAGTCGTAGATTATCTTAGCTCCACGCATCCAATTGTCAGCAAATATCTAATAGTTAATTTCAAGGCTTCACCGTTTTCGCTTTTAACGTTTTTGCAATAAACTAATAAACTAGGCAAATCTTGGCTTGTATCATTCTTTTTTGCAATACATTCATGCACTTAATATATCTTTAAAAAGTCATGCTCATCGTCTCACGTTCGTCGTTTGATCAAGGAAGCCTCTTGATTCTAAACATACTCGTCAGAGGAATTTTCAATTGCGTGTCGAACAAAATAGGGTGTTGTATTGATTTTGCTCTACCTCCCTCTTTCTTTGAACCAGAAAAGAACTCTGTCCACACAATCAACCAAGCACAAAGCAAAATATATTAGTTACCTATGGGAGGAGCCCGGGGGACTCGGGGGGCCCTGCCCCCCCCTTATTTTGGGTTAAAAAAATATAAATAAAAAAGAATCGTAGAAGGAAGTAAAGCTGGCAGGGCAAGCGACAAAAAAACCGCCCCCCCCCCTCCCTCCTTTAGCTCAAGGCCTGGATCCGCCACTGGTTACTTGATGCTAAACCAAAACCAAAAAGAATAAAACGGCTTATCAGAAAAAGGAATATACCCCAAAATACCAATGAGAATGCATAGTAAATGGCAACGGGCCTAAAGTGCGGGAAAAGGCAAGTAACTGTCGTTATTGATTTTAGTTTGAACCTGATTGGTTTAGAGAATGGCGCGAGTTTTCTGGACCAATCACAGTGCAAAGTAAAGCAAAACCAATGCAATTCCGGATTACTTTCGACACTCGATTGAAAATTGCTTCCTCGCGTTTACACATAATGAGCAGTTTGCATGCTTGTCCTTACCTAAAATTCTGATTTACGTTGTATTTGCTTTGCCAATGGTTTAATGAAATTAAAACGAGAGGTGCCAAAAAATTTCCCTTGCCTACATCAGGCAGAGTTTTTTTTATATATAACAAAGCTCATTCATATTCTTAAAAGTAAATCTCATAAACCTTGTAGTGCTTGCATTTCCTCTCATACATCTGCCACAGCTCTTCCAATTCTTTCTTGTCTTTTTTCAGAGAGAGTTGCATAGCCTCGTAGTATGCGGAACCATCTGAAAGAACTGGCATTTAGTGATACTGTTCCACATTTTTCCTTAGTTTTGTCCTGGCATTCAGTTCAAGCAAGAGAAAAGAAAGGGACAGAGAGGGAAAATCCAGGGCATTGGCTGGGATGTGTCGATCTCGCTTCTGTTATTTTTAGCTTGGGTAGAAAGCATTGTGGTCTCCTAATGTAGTTTCTCCTTACCGATGTCAGTTTGATATCAAAAGAACCAGTCTCATTGCTGTTAGTCATTACATTAATCTTACTGACAGGCGACCAAGGCTAACTGAAAGAAGACAGATGTTTTTCATTCTCTGTGTGCCAAACGAAAAGCGATGCGAGACACGTGCAAGTAAACATCCGTTTCGATTTCAGCGAAACGTGACTCTCGCCTCGCAGCGCGAAGAGGTGTTGTGTTACAAATATTTTGAAAAACGGATTCTTAATGCTTGGTTATAATCTGAAAGTATTACCATGCTGAGCTTTATAGATATAACCGCCGTTTATTTGTAAACCTAATTTTCAAGTCAGTCTTACATGTCAAGACACGCATGGGGTGGTCCAGCTACGAATATCTGTAAATAATTTAAGGGAATTTGACATTTCCCTGGGCCCAGACAAGAATTATAAGCCATTATTTTCTCGTGGTCTTGAGAACTCAGGTCTGTGCGCTGCACCAATAAAAATACCTTAAGTAACGACTTTGTTCACGTATGATTCGGAAGAATGAGCACTTTGTATTGAGCATTTGAATTACACTTAAGGGGAAAAAAAAGAAATATAGGCAACCTGCTACCCTTTGTTATAAATTTTTTCTTAGCCTAATGCATGATATATTAATTGTAGTTTAGGTCGTAATTTGTGACACTTACGAGCGTAGGGATAAACTGCCATAGACGGAGGCTCGTACGCATGAACAACAAGTAGTCGGTCCTTTTCCATGTTACACATATTCTTGACTAACCCTGAAATCGATTCAATGAAATTAATTGATAAGAGCGTTGACAGATAACAAGAAAAAATTTTTATCCTCCCAATAAGCCGTGCAGAAAGCGCTTAAACAAAACCAAGAAGATTGTAGTGTTTATAACATATTCTTTGCCAACAACCTTCAGTAACCCCCGCCCCTCGCTGTCTCATCGGAAGATGTAAGGTATTGGAAAGAAGTAAACGGTTGTGAGGTATTGAAGAGAAGTTGACAAAAGTGCATGAATGGGTGGAACAAAAATTAAAAACAAAGCCTTTTTTGTTCATCTTCTTCCTTTTTTTTCAGCCTCTGTCTCGATTACTGGGTAACAGCACAGGGGCTAAACTGACTTTCAAGTATTGTGAAGAGGTTAATAGTACTGATGCAATACTAATACATCACAACTTAACCGTCAAGGCGAAACTCATATCAAAACTCGTGTCTAGACCCCTACTTCAACCCAGTCATTCCTCGTCGTGTCTATTAATTAAATAATTTCTATTTACAATTAAAATACGTTGTCAAGAGAAAATCTCCCCCAGGGGGTATGGCTTAACCCGACACCAAAACCGTCATTATGATAAATGTATGCTGGTTAGTAGGGAGAATCGATGAAAAGATCCTTGGTGAAAGGCGAGCCGATTTGTCGTTATCAGGTAATTGTTTATAAACCTTAACAACTGTTACACAACCCTTATGATGCAGAACTTCAGCTTCACCCTGAACGGATGTGAGACAGAAGGAAAGTGAAGCTCGCATCTGAGGAAAACTTTTCAACTTAGTTGCCACTTACACTGGAAAGCTCTTGCACTGTGCTGGCTTCCATCCACACCAATCACTATCCGTCTCTCTCCTGCTGTATTATTGTCCATTTCTTTGGCTTCTGGATAACCTCTGATTGCTAAGGCTGATAGCACGACAAGGACTTTTGTTAACTAAAGTAGCTGAAGTTTGAACAGCTTTTAAGTGCTCTGTTGTCGCGATGAACGGGTTCGAATTGATTTCAATGAACTTGCATCGATCAAAGGTCTGACCCCCAGGTTACACCGTGCTGTGTTAAGAACGTGATTTACTGGAAAGATTATCTTTGGATCAGTGAAGAAATTTTTTTCGGTTTTATGCGTTTTTCGGCTGGGACGTGTCAGTTTTAAGTTCCATTTTTTTTTTTGAAAAACGAATTTACAATCTGTACGAGCGAAGACACCGGGCCATGAAGTTTTTTTCCTACTGTCGATAGAATATGACAGCTACGTGTGATAATCGCTCGGTATCACGCGAACTTGTCGGTGTAATGAGATAATAGGAATTAAAGAAGTGTTTCCCCTTTGTAGAAGTCACGGCACCACGTCAAGAGCTTCACTAGCTTTTCGGATTGAACATGATAACATCATGTGATGACCGCCGCAAAACACGCGAATTTGGGGACGAAATAGGATACCTAGGTCGAGCCTAGAATCAGCTGCAGGCAAACTTGAATCATGCGAGCTTCATCTGGAGTCCATCTTTAACTATGATGTATTTCATTTGTTGAGATTAAGCGCAGTAAAGTGTCTGGTCAGCTCATGCCACCTCGTGATACAGTGGTGATAGCACCATGGTCGATGTTCTTGGTTGAACTGCCCATCATGCAGTGCCGTAGGTATGAAAAGATACGTACTTAAGTGTTTAGTTATATGCGCCGTATGTTACTGTCTCAACTGTTCAGTTAATAAAGCAGATGTAGATTTTCGAAGTTTAAATTTTGAGCTATCGTGTATATTAATGAGGGGCGGCCTATGGGTGGTTTAACGAGGTACTTCTTCTTAAATTCGAAGTTGATCAAAACTTCGCGTCAGTCATGTCGAGCTATATGCCAAGCCTTAAGACATAAAATTTGACGTTTTTTATATGAAAAATTTTAATGAAATAACTGCTTAAATTGGAGCACTCCTGCGAGGATCATTAATTTATTTGATTTGATATTAAAGAAGTACAAAACGCAATTTTAAAGTTCGGATGTTTAGAACATACCAATGACTGTTATATTTTTCCATATCCTGGTCAAAATGACTCAGTCAGTCAGTCAGTATAAAGTTTATATCCGTTTCGATTGTCCAATTTACTCGGTTATGTCAACCTAGATTTGGTTGATTAAAAGTTCCTTTGATATGAATCAATAAAATACGATTGTTTTCCGAGGATCTGCCCTCTGTTCTATTCGACTGAGTGAAGTTTTAATTAAGGCTTACAAAACGCGACTTACGTTCTCTCCAAATGTCAGATTTTACTTATTCCTTCACCTTTTAGATTTAGTTTTGTTTGGGTAAAAGTTCATGATGTGAATCAATAAAGTTCAGCTGTTTAATTTTGTGCTATGATCTGCCTTCTGATCCGTTCGACTGAGCGGGTGGAGTGGAATGGCCGAGGACCAACCGTTGCAAAGTGAAAGTTTGTTACGTAATTCATCTTTCAGTTTTGGCAATTTTTTTACCTTGATGATCTCAGTAATGACCTTGACCGCGCCAGTGCTTACCATACGTTCGACACAAGAGGGCATAACACACGTGATAATTGAGATTTGAGACAAATTTTTCTTTATGAAAAAACGTTTAGTTTCGCGACCTGGATATGTTTTTACTGTCTGTTCAGAGGTGCACGTGAGCAGGAGATTAAGTTCAGCTGTGTCATTGAGGGCATTCCGCAATTCTATGAATCACTTCAGTTTTATCTGTTAATCTGCTTTTTTTTCACCCAATTTAGAGGCGAGGCTCCACCAACTGTGCTTTTATCTGTATTTTGCTCAGCTTACCCCCTTAACGCCTGTAATCAATAAGATTGGTGCAACAGAAATTTAAAATAAACGAGTGGTAATCCATGAATTCCCGGACACGTGCAAATATCCAGGCCAAATCCAATGCATTAATGAGAGGGCCCCAACGGGGTTAATCGTTTGCCGGAAAACGGCAAAACATTTAGCCGTTAGACATAAAAATAGACGAATTTAATCTTCAGTCGTAAAAAAAGTTCATTATGATAATTTTCCTTTAACAGCAATGGAATGGAATTAACCGTTAGCCATAAAATGGTCAGAATATTAGTGACGGTAATGTATTTGTAAATAGAACGTGATTGGCCGGGCGAGCTTTCATACTGACACAGTCAAACGCAGTTGATACGGCCTTGTCGTATCTCGTGCCGACAAAATATTTATTTCTGCCTTATTCGCAGACTCATTCGTCAGAAATACCATTATTCGAGTTTATTGTAGTTATTTGCAAATAAGCTGATTCATAATACCGTCACGACACATCACAATTTACAGGTTTCTTCAAGGCGAGTCAGTGGGACGTAATTAACATGACGTACTGCCGAACAGATGAATGCGGCACTTCATCAGGTTAGCTATCCACCACCAACAAAAATAATGATAGTAATAATAATATGTGATTGAAAGTGATCCTCGCAGTAATGTGCACTGCTTTGGCAGTAGTGAAAATAAGACCTGAAAAAAAATTCAGGCCTATACGGGATTTGAACCCATGACCTCTGCGATACCGGTGCAGCGCTCTACCAACTGAGCTAACAAGCCAACTGGGAGCTGGTCATGAAGTTGGTTCTAAATAAACCCGTGAAGTGATGAATAAATGGTTAAGAATATATGAAAGTCATATATTTAAACTGCGGATAACGACGTGAATGAAAGTGATCCTCGTAGTAATGTGCACTACTTAGGCAGTAGTGCACATTACTACGAGGATCACTTACTGCGAGGATCACTTTCATTCACGTCTTTATCCGCAGTTCAAATATATGACTTTCATATATTCTTAACCATTTAGTAATAATAATAGTAATACTAGATAAGAGTTGAGTGCGATTTGTGAGTAACTTCAGCACTACTGAAATCTGATTAGTCGCTCTAGATGTTGAGTTCTCGAGTTTCTCTCTGCATATAAATTGGGGGCTACATGTAAAGACGTTGTAAAAGGCACGTGAAAGCAAAAAAACTTTTCGTTTCACTTCCTTGAGGTTTTGTTTGATAGAGATAAGGTGTTTATCTTGTTTTTCAATCCTTTATTAGCAACCGCAATACGTTCCTTTATTTTGCGAGAAGTTCGCCCTGCCTGTTAACGTTGCACCCATCAGGTGGTCTTCCTGTGTTTACACTTGTCATAAAACGATTACAGGATCTGTTGAGATTCAGTCGTGTTCCTCTTCACAGTTATGCGTATGGGGTTTGCATAACTTTCTCAAATTCTCCTAACCCCCTCTGTTTTAATTCCTCTTTAATATTTCAACAGCCATCCGGGATCTTTTCGCACACGTTCACGAAAAAGAGGTTCGTGACAAAAATCACGCGTGTGAACGTGTCAGCGATACGTGCCAGTTTTCACGACCCTGACCGGTGGGAACGTACTTAACATACAGTAAGCTGGTGAAATAATTTCATTTGCTACCGAATAAAGAAGTATGGCAAAGCAGCAAGAAGACGTTAAGAAGAGAACAGTACTAGTGCCTGTTGATGGCAGTGAACACAGCGAGAGAGCTTTTGACTGTGAGTATTGGCGTCTTTCGTGACTCGCAGTGCATAATTGACCTATTCGGCTTAGGTACATTCATTGTTTTCGGACGATCGATCTTTTTCCCGTAAAATCGCAGCTTATTTTTCCCCTATCTACACAAGAGGCGTTGAACTTGTCTGCTCAAATGTTTAAAGCTTTCAGTTTGTATTTGACCGGCTCAACTCAAAAAAAAAAAAAACAATGATTTCCCATATTCCACACTCGCCGAGGATTCGACGGTGGCAAATTAGATTGCTCCACCTTATTGCAGAGAGAATATTTTCTTGATCAAATAAATATCAACTGGATCATTATCAGTCTTTTATAATCGTTGTCAGCTGGTTATACTCTACTTAACAGCTCTGTGCCAATTCATCTGGGAAATTTATTTGACAATCAAGCACCTTTGCCTTGCACGTTTTCCGTATGGGTGTCCTGGGACAGTTTTAATTTATGAAGCAGTTGCTCCAAAGGGTGCTTTGGTCGAGGAAAATTCCCGTCTAGTTCCTCCGTACGTTTCTTAGTTTTAACTGATGTAGTAACATCATATGATGCCAAGATACGATTAAATTTTTTTTATTTAATTGATATGTTACTGAATATCCAACTCAAGATTTCTTACTGCAGAAGCCAATACCAATTGAGAATATCCTATTCTTTGAGTAAAATACTGAAATTGTGTACTATGTTGAGAACACGTTTTGAACAACTGTGGTGAAACCAAAATCTCAGTAATGATCATACATGTAACAGCTAGTCAATGCGAAGGAAAATGTCACTAGGAGTCAATTAGAATTTGAAATAAAAATTTGTAAATTGCCTAAAGCTTTGGAAAACATGAGCAACCAAGTTGGTAATGAATTAAGTTTTGAATTTGATTTTCTAAGAGAGTGAATTTTATTTTCAAGACCTGAATCAGAGAGCAAAGTGAAGCAACCCATTGCAATCATGGACTACTTTCAACACTTATTTAGAAATTAAGAATTAGCTAAGACTCAGGCCTCTTAAAACCAATCCTTTAATTCTCTGGTGGCACATGCTTATTAAGGCCAAAAAAGTTGATTTACACACTTGTGCATTTGTCAGCTTATCAGAGCACTTTTATTTGTATTTGATAAAATATGGGTACCATTCATGCAGCTTAGTGAGAATTGTATATGATAAATTCCTTATGTTTTCCCAGGGTATACAAAGAATTTTTATCGCAAGGATGATGAGATATTGGTGTTCCATGCAGCAGAGGTACCATCACTACCAGCCACGCCATATCCATGTAAGGTTCTACAGTACTTGTAAAATAATTTCTTCTGTGGTATGGTGTTATAAAGATACACTGCCAGCTCAGGTCTTATAAATTTCTGCAGTTATAGCTTTTATTCACTGGCTGTGAGTGCAACAATTTATGCAGATCCTAATGCAAAAGTGACCTTTTCAGGTGAAGCTCATTAAAACTCATGAAGTTCTCAAACTTCAACTCCAATATTCTTATTTATTTCCACAGCTTCTTGTACAGTCTCTCCATCCTCATGAAAAGTTTTCATATTCTGAAGCTTCAATTGTTTTATAATGCACAAGCTGTAATTGCAACGCCTTTAAGAATTATGGAATATGTTTCTCAGTGCAAATGAATACTTTTTCTTGGTGTCTTTAATTTAGTAAGTTTTAATAGTTTAATTTAGATTAATTTTGTTTTTCTAGATGGTTTTGAATTTACTGATGGATGGAAGAAGCATCTTGAAGAAAGTGACCAAAAAGCCCGCACACTTTTAGAATCCTACTACAAGAAATGCCAAGAAAGCAATGTAGGTAACAGTTCCATTAAAAAAACTCAAAATAAATAAATTATTTTGTATTTGAAGGCCTCTCTATATAAAGATTTTATCCTAGATGTTGCAGAGATATTTTAACCAAAGATACAGTATATGTACATAGGCTGTGCTCAGTTTTTGCTCAAATTGGGTTTACTTGATGGTTATTTTATTTTTATTAATACCAATATATGCAATCCAGGATGGATTGTAGCTTTCATTCCATTTTATTTGAAATTGCGTAATGATATATTTAACTTTCTTATTAGCTTGTGATTAACTCTGCAGCCTCAGCCTATGCAGCATTTTTTCTAAATTTCAGTCTTCTATGCTTGTGACTCAAAGGTAAATTTGGTGACCTGCATTCTGCATATCAGTATTTATCTTTTTGAAAAGATCTGTATACAAGTTAATACAGGTTTAGAGCTTCCTTGTTTTTGGTGAATTGATCCTGAAGAATTTGCCATGGTTGAATTGCATGGCAACATATATTTATGCTCACTAGAGTTCGCAAGAACATCTACTCTACTTGCATATTTACAAATTTGTATTTAACCTTTTGCTCTTTTATTAGTATATTTTGATTCTCACTCTTCTGAAAAGTGGATCTTTTATTTTTCTGGCAGCTGAAATGCCGGCTCATCAAGGAGAATGGAGCTCCAGGAGAGGCTGTGTGTAAAGTTATCAAAGAAAGAAAAGTTGATCACGTGGTAATGGGATCCCGTGGGTTGGGCACAGTAAGCCGTGCTCTTGTAGGGAGTGTAAGTGACTACTGTCTTCACCATTCAAGTGTTCCTGTGTCAGTTGTTCCACCTCCAGATCGCTTTGAGCATCATGGATTTGCTAACTTACATTGATGAAGGCCATCTACTAAATATAGTTAGTGACCCAGTGGTCTAGGACAATCTTTGAGTCACACACAGCTATGAGACTATTGGCATGTGTTGGCAGTAAAGGGGAATCTCATAGATAAGATAGCAGTATTTCTTACATTTCTGTCAGCTTGGTAATCATCAAATGATTCGTAAAGTTGTACATTAGAAGTTGTATAGTAAGTTGATAACTTTCACTGTGAGATTGCACTCTGATTTCAATAAACAAATCAATGTTCACATTAATTGTACTCTGATACATGTAGATGTATAATCACTAGGCACATGAAAGAAGAGCTAATGGCTACCTTTGATGTATATAGTGCTGTTAGATGTATCCTCTGTATTAAACCTTTAACTCCCAAGATCTCATTAGTAATTCCCTTAACTGTGTGCCATACAGTTGTTGTTATGTTAGTTTGGAGAATTTGGTGTTGTATCAACTTATAATCCCCTAACTGATATTTTTCTTTATTCTCATCACTTGTCTGCTTGATATTGTAAGGAGAAATTCTGTCTCGGTCACTCATGCAAGTTAAAGGGTTAAACCTTTCACTCCCAAGATCTTTTCTTAGTAATTTCCCACACTGTCTTCCATACAGTTCTGTAATGTTGGTTTGAAAATTGGTGCCAGATCAACTAATAATCCCCTACTTGAAATATTCAGCACTTGTCTACTCGATAGTGTAAGAAGAAATTCTGTCTTGGTCAACTCATGGGAGTTTAAGGGTGATAAAAAAACCAATAATATCCATGATAACCTTTATTGAATTATATAATTATGTAGGTTGTAATGAAAATGAGAGACCACAATGCAAATGATTTAAGACAATTGAACTGAAACAATGACAGAAATATTAGTTTTCTTGTATGTAGTTGTGCAAACAAAGTGTTCTCATATTGATTTTTATATATTTAAATCAGAGAGCTTCCTTTAGAGTAGATTTATGTAATCATTTACAGTTATGGTGTGGATATTTCCCAACTTTCCCTAAAAATGCTAGGTATTATTTGTTCTTAACAATATCTGATATGGTACATAAAATTTGTTCCCCTGGATTATGTTGTTCAAAATAAGTAGGATTTGAATTGTTCCTTGGAACTTTAAAGATACCATATTTCCTTAAATAAGCATCCAGGTGCTGATTTGATGATTCCAGATGCTGATTGTTGGCTAAAAGGGGGGGTGGGGCAGGGTGGGGTGGAAGGCAGCACTTATTGAAAGGAGGGGGCTTAATCAAGGGGGTGCTTAATAAGTTAGCCCAGCATTGGGTGAAAATAAAAGAACTGATGACACACAAAAGAACACTGCAAGCACGTGGAGTTGGAAACAACTGGAACAAGATGGAAGAGAAAAAATTATCCTGTACTAATTCCACTGTAGTTGAAGCTTAAAAAGTTATAAATATTACGCCAATAGAAACAGGTTTTCTTGTATCCCTACTATTAATGAAAATCAGGGGACACGTGGAGGTTTTTGTAGGGGAAGGGGTGCTTCTATGAAATTATGGCCTGGGGGGTGGGCACACCTATTATAGTAGTTCAACTGTACAATAAATTAAAAATAGATTGTACCTCAGATGTAGCTTAAGTAATACTAATAGTAAATTCTATCTACCTGCCAAAATCTTACACCTGTGATAAAATTTGGACCTTTAATGTTAAAGTTTTGACTGACATATTTTCTTTAAGTGTGTAAGGTAACAAAAAAGTAAATGAAGAAGAGATAGGTTCTTGCAAGTGATCATGCTTTCCCAAACATCTCTGATTTAAGAAAAGGGGACATCAAAGAAAAGGTTGTGAAGCAACTCTCTGGAACAACTTTGGAAATGGAAGGAGTGTTCCCAAAAGTCCGCAAGCATCTGCAGACATAATTAAATTGTCTAAAATAAAAAAATTCTACTCCTTTGACTCAAAAATGATTGACAGGTATCTGAATATCACTAACATGTACATTAAATTATGAAGTGATGCATTGTGTGTCAAACAAATCATTTCTACTCACCCCAAACTAATTTCTATTCATATAATCTAAAATTATTTCAACTTAATAACACTAAATACTATTGATTGACTTGACTCTAGCTTGCATCACTGCATTTTGTAGCTTTCTAAATAACAATGTTTCTTTTCCTTCATTAATAATCTATGCTTATTGTACTACTTGGTTGCCTATCCATCACTTAGCTGGAGGTATCACAATCACAGGTATGGAAGAATGCCGAACAACATAATCGCTGACACTCCCTAGCAATGTTCTCCGAAGCTTGCCCAGTCCTCGGCAACCCATTACTAATACTGTTCCATTTTCTTTCTTGCTGTAACTAATTATGACCTCTCCTGGTTTGCCTGAATCATGAATCATCTTGTATGACAGTTGTCCCTATCAAACAAGAATAATGTTTTTTTTCTTAGCCTTGACCTTCAACTACCTTTAAAATTCAGAACTTTTAACTTTTGCCATGGGAAAGGGGGGTGGGGATAACTTAGTACTTGGTATATGTGAAGTACATATGATGTATTGAGTGTCAACACTTTGAAGATTCAGTCAGCTCCAGTTCACCTGAAAGTAACTTTTACCAACACCCAAGATTCCAAGTGAAAATTCAAAAGGATGTGGTACAAAAACAAAAACAAAAATATGATGAAATTATTGACTCATAACCATATCTTTTCATTTCAGATGTAAGGTTGGGTTAAATGGGTTTCTGTATAAACAATAATAAGGCCCGACCATAACACAGGGAGCAACATGATGTACAGTATTTCCTCAAATAAGTGCTTGGGCACTTCTTCAATATTTCAGTTAAAATGGGGGTGCTCAGATTAGGAGGGGAGCACTTATTAAGTTAGCATGGCAACAAGACAAAAATCTAAGAACCGATAATTTAATGCACAAAGAGGAACTCTAAAAGCACGTGGAGATAGAAATAACTGGAAGTCACGTTAAGGAACACAACCTTTTCTCCTGTCCTGATTGCATTGTAGTCAAAGCTTGCAAAGTTATAAATAACATACAACATGAGTTCACCAATATGAAATGCACTTACTGTACAAAAGAAGACTTGCACTGACCTTTAGGGAGGCAAATTTTTCATCATACTCTTTCAGAAGGCCCCTGGCTTTGTCTTGGGCCTTCTGAATTAAGACACACCACTCATCATAGTTGTTCTTGAGGTCGACACTTGCTGCCCAGCAAAAGAAAGAAAAATGATTATTGATGGTAAAAGATCAAGAGTAAACAGCAAATAATACATGGTTATTCAGTAGTGACAGTACTGCTAAAAATAAATTACTGCTTGGTCATATTTTGCACAAGTCAAGCATATCATCTTTAAAGGTGAGACTTCTGTCTCTTGAGTTGAATGAGCATCTTGCCTTTTGAGAACCAATGATTGAAGCAGCTAGTTTGGAATAAATTAAGAGGACAGTCTCATATCTTTGATGGCAAAACAACATGCTTGTCATGCAAGCGGTGAAGCTTTTGTCCTAGATGTAATTCTCTGCAGACAAATTCATTGAAACCCTACCTTGTACAACTAGACTTTTTTTAGAGGGGGTGGTCTCCAACATCCAATCTCACAGTTTATTATTTTACATTTTTGATTACTTCTATGCTGTGCTTACAAGTCTGGAAGAGACTTTTTGTATTCATACTGTTTAACCCTTCTGTTTGCAGAAGTGATTAAATTAAATACAAAATTATATTTGATCTCCTTACTTACATGTATTTAACCAATACCTATATCAGAAAACACACTCAGAACTGATAGACTATCAGTCATACGACAGTGCATTATAAAGAGAATAATACATGGGTGTGCATTGATATAGAATTTTTCTTTGAGTGTTTAACTTGATAGCTCACCAGTGAGATGTCAAGTTGAACACAAAAAAAGAGAAATTCCATATCTACAAGCAACCATGTATTATTTTGTTTAATTCATATAAACATGATAGCCCTTTATTGACGAAAAAAGTTGACTTTCACAACAAATGGAAATAAAAAGATACAGTGCATAAAATCAACCTGTGGCAAATCTTCCTGTATTTGATTTTCATTTTCAGCCACAAGAAATTTCATTACCAAAGCCACTGAATACATAACTTTTGGTTTTTCTTTTCACATTTTGTTTCTTCCCCTTATAGGAAAGTTTGAGTGTCACTGTCTGCCAGCGAAACAGATTTTTCAGTGTTTTAGCAGCCACAATCTGAAAAAATTCTGACAGACAACCTTGGACTGAGAATGGTAGCACAAAAGGCAAGTAATGTGTCAGCAGCTAATCGACAATATCAAACACACTGAAGAAAATATTGTATTTTTTCACCTGTGATGTTATGGCTTTTCTCAGGGCTGGAAATCCTTGTATAAAACCATAGTTTATATGATAAATTAAGATATCCTGCCAAATTTTCCATCTTCAATTAGTGAGGAGAATGGAGGAGAGCATGAAATACATACTATTGTGTATATCCACCTATCTGCATCAATTTAACCAAATTCAAACTGTGTTTAGGACTACAGTGGAACCTCCGGTTAGTGACCACCCAAAATGTCAAGTGTAGGTGGTTGCTTACTGGAGGCAGTTCCTTATCAGAGGTCAGGCCACAGAGGTTCCATATTTTGGGTAATTTGGACCCTTTTGCCAGTGCTTATTGAAACCTATGGTAAGAACTTTTTGCAAATGATTTAAGGAAAAAAATCATGGAATCTATGGACCCAATTGCTTTGTATCTCACAAACTATTTCAAACAGCATTTGGGACAATTCACATGAAAGAAGCTTGGCTTGTTTGTTACTTTATTCATGCATTTAAGTTATTTTGAAAAACACTTCTGGTGGCTATATGGAAACATTTGTTAAAACATTTTTCAAATTATGTTGTGAGAGATAAGGCCAATTGTCTGTCAAATGGTGGCCTATGGTGGGTTAAAAACAAATGAATCTTAAAAACAAGCATCTCTTAAAGTGGTTGCTTGCAAGAGATGTCCAGTTTCAAGAGGTTTCATTTGAAGTGATTTGACTTGGAAACTTTTGGTAATTTGAAAAGGTAGTTACTAAAACAGGGAATGACCTAAAATGACTTAAAATGACTTAAAATGACTTTAAATGACTGAAAATGACTTAAAATGACCTTGAGTGATTTCTAAAATGACCTAAAATGACCTTAAGTGATGTCTGAAATGACCTAAAAGGACCTAAAATAACCTTGACTGATGTATTGACCTAAAATGATTGGAAATAACCTGCACTGACTAAAATGACATGAAATGATGTTTTAACTTTACTGGAACAATTTAAAAAAGTAATTGTCAGCCATATCATAGGCATCCCAAGGTGATGTCTCAAGAAAAAGCAAACTATTAATTTATGAAAGCGTCATGCATTGCAAGATTCAGTGATCAGTTACAAGTAAGAGGAACCTTTGAGAATTTGAACACGGAAAAGTGTGGGAATGTGCAAACTAAGTGCTTACCTTCTTATATATTATGTCACTTTAGACCACTTAGAACACCTTAGATCATTGAGCTACTACCAGCTACTATCATGGATCTTTTCAGCTAGACTTAAATGTCATTTTTGGTTATATCAGACATCAGTCAAGGTTATTTTACTTCATTGTGTGCATCACTCAAGATCATTTTAGGTTGTTTTAGGTCATTTTAGTTCATTCCTTGTTTTAGTATAACTGCAATTTAAATTGAAAAAAGTGGTCACTAGCAAGAAGTGGTCACAAAAAGAGGCTTGACTGTGATACAAAAATGCGAAAAAAAAGTGAATCATGTAAGAAAAATGAAGAATTAAAGTCAAGTAGAAATCATCATTTCATTCAATGAAATTTCTCCAGATGTGTTCTCAACAAGGAAAAAATGGGAAATCACCTGAGCGAGTGAAAAAACAGGGAACTCAAATAACATTACGACTCCAGCCCGGATTATTTGTGACTTACTGAAATGGGTGACACCGCTGGATTTTTTACCTCGAAGGCTTGGTTTATTCCTTTGGGCATTGCTTTTGGTGGCTGCCGAAAATGTGTCAAATGATTTCGGTTATATTCGTTTCGAAAAAGGTGAGATATTTTGGAAGAAGACCAAAGGAACTGCGGAAGGTACTTCAAAAGACTTGGACAATAGTGTAATTAAGCTACCTTGCGCGAACAGACTTGTGATCTTGTATCCTTTTGTTTACATTGTCTTGAGATGAATGAACTCGAGATCAATAAACTGCAATCATTTGAATAGCCTGAATATATGAATACTTAACAACCTCAATTTTTGAGGTTCACATTTAATCTGCTATGGAGTTGTAATGAAAGCAAGCTACATGTAAAATTCAAATTCAGCACTGACTCCATCCAACATTCTGCAATGAACCAGCAAATATAAAAGAGTTCTTTCAAAAAGTAACTCTGATCTTCTTATGCAATGAAAAAAAGAGAGTTTTCCTGTAACTATGTGTATGAAAGGCCGGAGAATTAATTTTGGAAAAGAAGTTCAGTCTTAGAGGGTTAGTTATTATTTTGACATTCTAAAAAAGTAGCTTAGTCATTGTATGACTATTGCTGATTAATTCCTTTGTTGCCTGTCTGTTTTCCTTTTATAGCTTTTGTGTTCTTCAGTGACAACATTGCTGCAATCAGGTAGGTATAATTCTTATACTAATTAAAAGAAGTAATTTATAACTCAACAAACTAAAAATTTTTAAAAATATCCCTTAACTCTTTAACTCCCAGATCAAATTTGTAATTCTTCTCACAGTCAACCATACAATTCTTATAATGTCAGTTCAGAGAATTCAGTACTGGATCAACTAATTATCCCTAAACTGATATTTTTCTCTATTCTCATCACTTATCTGGTTGATATTGTATTGATATTGTAAGGAGAAATTTTGTCTTGGTCAGTCATGGGAGTTAAAGGGTTAAGCTAACCCTGAGGCAGCTGTAGATCTATATCTACATGTAAACCTACTTGTTCCATCAAGTAACACTACTGTCCCAAGTTTCATGAAAGATTTCTGAACTAATATCAAAAACCAGTTTTGCATCTCTACAATATAGTTCAGATACCCTCAAGGTAGATATTACATGTACCCTAAGTTTGATAGTATCTGGGCTTTTTGAACACATGGTTTCAGTGGAAGTTTTATGATCTTTAGATCCAATAAACCTGTACTTACTGTGTTTTGCAGATTGCATAGGTGGAGGATCAAATGCATGGATGAAAACAACTCTGTCACCTTTAGAGTGAAGATGATCTAGATACCCTGATGAAAAATGATTAAAAAATTAAAAAAACCAAAAACAAACAGAATTTACCCAATCTCTACAGTCAAATCAAAAAGTAATTAAAGTCATTGAATTTGCATGTAATGTACTCCTAATCACCTGCTCAATGGGAGAAACATGAAAAAAGAACACTCTATGTCTCAAGAAGTAGGATGTTAAGGTGGCGCTTATGTAACCTTGCTATTTTGATATTTGGTTCTTAGAAAAAGGAATCAGCAAATATCCGTAAGTACTTCTGTCAATCTTTTTTACTAATTTACAATATGGACCTCTAGAGTTAAAACAATATCGCAGCAATATTCCGTTAAGGTTTTATAATATTTGAATGGTAAAATTCTACCAAAACTACCGCCATGATGAAATTACATAGGTCGACAAAAGTAGATTTGGTAAATAAACAAATACATTTAAGCATTTCAGAAATGTACCATTCGGCTGCAATTTGAAATCACAAAATAAAGTCGACCAATATTTCACGTGTGTGCTGTAGGACTAAAAATGCGCGATATTTGTTCATCTTGATTCTCGCTTTCGTGGCATTGTTTTTCTTAAGTTAATCACGCTTAAACTCTAATTTTAACATTGTATTAATAAACTCTCAAGGGGAGGCAAAAGAATAATAAAAAAGAGAGTTTCTTCTTGATTAAGTCTCTTTTCGACGTTCGGACACAGTACAAGAAACCTGGGAGAAGATCCCAGCGAATCGGAGTGCACATATCAGCGAACGATGTGCATCGATAGACCAATTAGTCTTTGAAATATTCCCGATCATTATTTTATAACCAATATCTGATCATGTGGATATGACTAAGCTAAGCAAAGTTTAGCTTTGTAAATTTGAGAACGTAAACAAATATTGCACGTAAGTTTTGATCTACGGTTTTTTTTCAAACAGAGACTTACAGCTTACTGCTCTTTCACTGTTTTTGCTCCCGTCAACGGGGATAATGACAACATTTCCTGAAGACATTTTGCTCTGTGTCTTCCACTAACTCTTCAAATGAAGTGCGCGGTTAAGTTTGTGATCATCCTATACAATAACGTACTATTCACTTCCAGCTGTCAATCTGTCAATATATCACTCTCCGAATCAACTGTGCACGTCTTCTCCCCAGTCCCCAGATGCATCGATAAAATTGATTGGTTCTTTCATGAGCAAAACTACCAATAAGCGTACGCGTAATTCCATTGGCGATAAATAATGCAAACACGATTAAACTGGGTTTCCTGAACACTAGCAGTCCGGAGGGAACTCGCACGATCCACGATCTCACTTTGCTTTGATGCTTTGAGAATCATGTCCGGTAAAAGGAAGGTATTAGTTGCAGTGGATGGCAGCAAGAACTCTGATTATGCTTTAAAGTGTAAGTGTGTTGATTTTTGACTCGCTAGTTTTCGTGCGCTCTGAAGGGAATGGGGGCGTGAATCCGCGAAAGGTGCGTTCGATGTACTGGACTGTCGCTAAGTAAATTCAGCTAATCGAATGACTTAAATCTTAAAGTTTGCAGATCACAGCCTATTGTGTCAGTAGGATTTATCAATATTCTTGAGATAACTGCTCGCTATATTAAAATTTTAACAAAGTCTTACGTTTTGATGTCTAGCTTGTTAAGCGAAGGACTTTGCAAAGGAGTGTGTAAATGTTCCCGGTAACAAATCTTGATTGCAATATTCGGAAAATCGACTGTTACGAATTTGTTTGCGTGATACATACACAAGAAAATGACAAAAATGTAATGTATTGTCAGGTAAATATAAAAAATGTTGTCGTAAATCAAATCTTTAGCAATACCACACAGATGCACTTTGTACGCAAGGAAAGTTCCTAAATTATTGAAAAGATTCAAGTGTGTATATTGATGTTGGAATATTAATGATGCTTGGATACTGTGATAATTTGGTAGTTTACATTTAATGACTTTAATCAGTACACAAGTACAGTAGCAGTGCAGGCTTGATGAATTAATCGTCAAGGCTGTAAGGGGAATTATTCAATTTTCTCAATCGGTTTATCATACACCCCTCCCAAAGTAGAAAGGCATGATCACCCTGTGACTGACAAGGTGATCTCAAGTTAAAAATTGTCAAAAATTTATGGGAATGATCACTCCTTCCATTAAAAGATGCAGGCAGACTTCTCTAGCCATATACACAAATTTATTAAATTTATTTCAGCCCTTTTAAAACACAAGATCAAAATACTCTGTGTCAAGAAAATCCATGCCAATTTGCTGTGACCATTATGCACCATAAACTTTTCATGCAGGTTTAAAATGTGCAAACTGAAAAGAAAAATTAAAACTGCTTGCATTTTGATTAGTCTGTGTATCTCACAGGGTACTTGGAAAAAGCCTCCCAGCCTGAGGATGAGTTGATTGGTTATCATGTTTGGCAGCAGAAACATCTTCCCACCTTTAGCTTAAAAGGTAAGTTGGAGAATAAATGTTATTAATTGAATGAAGCAACCCATTTTTTTTTATTTTGTACATTATGCAGACAAACATGATGAAATTATATACAGCACGTACATACATGATAAATCCTGCAAGTTACTCGCTAACTTCTTGCAGTATTACTGCAGAGTCATTCATGGAGATCATGAGAATAAAGAAACAATTACTTAATCTTAAAGAGGCTTTGATTACCAAATGATCTCTCCTTGTTACTACAAGATGACACTCTAAGAGAGATTAGCCAAACTCCAGGCTTATTAAAAACAGCTTTAATTTCTTTAATCTACATCACTTTTACAGCACCTTTTCAGCTTCCTGCTGAGGAGTGGAAAAAAATCATGGAGGAAACAATGAAGGAAGTGGAAAAAGTTGAGAATGACTTCACAACAAAATGCGGTTCAGTAAAGGTCTGTCTTTATTTTCAAACTAAATGTCTTCCAGATGATCAACTGTAATTATTTCTTACCTCTTAAGTTTCAGTCAACTTCCCAGACAAATCATCAAGAGAACTTGATGTTAATATGACATTATTTAGATATCATGAATTAGTTAAAAGTTATTAGAAGATTTGAAATCTGGATTTTCTTTATATTGGAGGGAAACAAAGTGTTTTCCATCCGTATCAAAATTACTGTGAAATATAGAAATAAATGTATATCTGCTTGGATTTGCAAACACATGCCTGACATGTTGCAAGATAGACAATCACTGGGTTATTCCCTGCTACAGCTCAGGTAGTGGGTGAATGCTGTGTGGTCGGAGGGTGGTAGAGAGTCCAAACAGCTGGCTTAGGAGGGGTTGCAAACACCCATCGGCTAGTTTTTTAGTTGGAGAAGATTATTGTTAAGGCCAGCACTGGATGTAGCCTTGAACCAGTTCATTAGAGGGTGGGTCACTGGCAGCTCTGTGCCCAAAGCTCAGGGGAGGAGAGGGTAGGTTTTGGACTTCTCAACCTATGGTAGTTTGCCTATTGGTTGGAAGAGTTTTGTTAGGTTGTTTTGACAATGCACTGTTTTGCCTGACTGGCCATAAGGCTTGTGCCCTGCCACACTGCCAAATCAATGGGCTAAGACTCAATAACTGGGGGTTGGTTGAGAGTCAAAAATGTCATATTTGGGCCTGGCTAAATTGATATCGCAAAGGCCTACCAACTAGGTCTTACCTGCCCACCTATAAGCTAGCATGGCCAGCAAAAATGTGGGGGCTCAAGATCAAGGATAGCACCTGCAAGTAGGCTGCAAACTGGCCTATTGGAGGGTGGGTGGCTAACAATTAGGTAAAGAATTTTCAGTTTCTAAAGGAGGGAGCTTGGGAAGGGACTTTGAGCTTGTTGTGCTCATGGGTATGTTTTGATAAATCTGCTCAGATATATATCTATACATATGCCAATAAGTTTAATTAGTATGATACTGATGTTTTCACCCATTTTCAAACTAATTCAGACCCCTTGACTCAGAAAATTAAAGAAAAAGTGCTCAGGGTGCTAAATCAGTATATATTTATGTAGTGACAACTGTATATCCAATCCTAATGTACTGCATTCTTTTGACATTTCAAGCATCGCAAGTTTGAGAGTGAGAGCAGTAACAATCCCGGACAAGCAATTGTTGATTATGCAGCATCTAAAAATGTGGATTTCATCATTATGGGCACCAGGGGTCTGAGCCCCCTGCGTCGCACTGTCTTGGGTAGTGTTAGTGACTATGTTCTGCATCATACCCATATCCCTGTTGCTGTGGTGCCAGTTAAAGAGGAATCAACTTAGAGGCATTCATTTTTCCGGAGGCAATGTTTGCATTGCAATAGTCTTAGCTTTCAATTTTGTATCTTGCTGAATGAGGGTAGTTAGATATAACAAGAATTGCTACCTGCAGTTATTGTTCAAGTTATGCTCAAGGAAATATTACATTGTTAGCACATGCACTATGAGTAGGAAACTAAATAAAGCAAGTGATATGGTGTAGTTTTGACATGCTTCCTCCCAGACATCTCTCATCTCATTCTTCTTGTTTGTTAGTGGTACTTTTCTTTAAAGGTGTTGGCTTAGAATCCCTCTACATTCTCATTTTTTTTTTTTATTCATCAACGTTTGACTCCCTGATCAGCTTATAACTTCTCCACTCAATTTTAATGCAATTGTTTAAACACCAAATACTTGCTCCCTTTTCATTGTAACCAGCTAACATAGCCAAGTTTTAACCCTTTGATTAACCACAGTAATACTTTAAGACCTGGTTATCTCAATTATCATTGCCTTTGCCAATGAAATTGCTGGAGTTTCTCATTATCTATAATTATTCTGTCTGTTGATTCTACGGCACCACCCAAAGGCGTTTTAACTGAGTTTGACAGCCAAATTTGCAATTTCGTCTCCTTCGGCTCTCATTTATTGTCTTTGCCGACATCAAAAAGCCAAAAAAAAAGTCTTTTCATATATATTTTCTCTATTTTCCCATTTACAATTCCCAAAATGATCTAAATTTGTCGGAAGGGACTTGTTTCAAACAACAGATCAAAACGCGACTTTGAGTCAAATGTGCGTTAACTTTCTCGAGAAGTTTACCATCACGCGACTTCGTCTATCAGCCCCAGTTTTCCTCTCACTTTTTCTTTTCCATGTAGGTGTACCAGTTTAAAAAGGATGCTGAGGCGGAAAGGTGCTAACTGCAACAGACAACATTCCATCCAGGGGAGTAGCCATGATGCTAGTCGCTTCATGCAACAATATGAACTGTATGTGGTTAGGACTGAGCCAATTTTCGAAGAAAATCTACCGAAGGAAACGCTATTAATCTCAGTCGAAAGATCTTTTTCCTATTACCAAGATATTGTGTCATCAAACGGCACTTCGCCAAGATCGATATCTGAGCATGCTTAAACTTTCGAATCTGTCGCCCTTTTGGAATCCTCCCTTCCCCTCCCCTCCCCTCCCCTCCCCCCCGACGTTTTTTTTTTCTCTTTGTCAGGCGTAGAAGGCTGATGGATATCATGGGTATAGTGTCTAGAAATCCTAGAGTCCATTATATATAAACTATATTGTTTTATAAAGGGGGTGAGTTTCTGAAGAAACTGTGGTGCTCTGTCGGTGGGAGAGTATAATAGGTAATTTAGTGTTAACAACTGAGTTAAAACGTAAATTAGCCGTAAAGAGTTTAAAGACTGACGTTTTGAGACGTCAAAAAGCGAGTCATCAGGACCTATCAATTTTGTCCGCAGACATTATCTGTTCCCAGATGCGAAAAGTTTTCTGAGAGCTTGAGGAAAACTCTGAGCTTCGTGTAACACATAATGTCCAAACGTATTTTCGCTCCAAATGGAGGCTATTGTGTTTAATATCCTTCAAATATTTTTGCAACGCGCGGGAAATATGTTAACGAACACCTTACAGTTTGCTTCGTGGGATGCTCGTCGCTGTTTTTTAAAACTGCCTTTCATACTTGATCAGTTGTGTCTGATTCATTTCCAGTCCCTTTTTCCATGCTCTGATTTTCCGCGGTCTATTCAAACACTACTATTCCGTCAAAAGTGAGTCATCAGATTTTTTACGTTGTCAGGATATCACTGAGAACCTCTTCCCTGCTGATATCCTGAACACTTCATCGTGAACACAGATGATTAAGAATTATCCTTGTTCACCATGGCCCGAGCAGGATATTCTTGGGAGGGGGGGGGGGGAGTAGTTGAAAAAGTGGTTTGCTCATCGACAATGACGACACGACTCTAGGACATTTTTGGCCAACTCCTACATGTTGTTACAAGAGAAGTGGAGTGTAAACTGCTTGACTAAACTGGTCAGTCCGAAGCCCCCGCTACACTAATACCATCTGTATAGCCTTTTCATCTAGAGGAATTTGTCCTGGTTAGAGGTACAGCGGGAGAAACCAAGTTTATGTAATGATCCTTTGGGATAGAGCATTCTAACCTTGTCCTTATAATTACAGAAAAAAAGAAAAAAACAAGAAAACAAGCAAAATTTGAAAACATAACTTATAATCTCAATATAAATATGCTTAAGGGCGCGGCAAATGTGTTTGGAAAACACAGGATTCTGTTTTTGTCAATAAAAGATCGCCCCCTAAAAATTGAAGGGTGCAAGCGGCAAGCTCCTCATGACGAAAGGGCTTCATCTAGTGTCTCTTTTTCTTTCTCTTTTTCATGAGGTAAATGATAAGTCCTTTATGGATTACGCGCTAATCGTACGTTTTGTCTTCAGTTGATCTCCAAGAACCTTATAATTAAGGACTGTAACACAGATAGTGATTAGATAGGAGTTGAAGATAAGAGATGTTTTGATTTGTGCGATCTACTGCGTGTCGGGGAGCGCAATAGAAAATTGCAGTGCTTTGCTTTATCCAACTGATGGTTCGATACTTCATTTTGGCTAACATGACAAAGTTCATCGGAGTGTGGCAAAAGATTCCCAGTCCAGTGCGTGACTCGATGCTCCAACAGAATTTCATATAAGAGTCCTCACACGCCCCTTTAGACTGTATGTTTATAAACTGTCCTTGATGAAAGACGTCACATTCTTGAGATGCCAGTCCTAGCGACATTTGATACCTGCTCCCGTTGTTTGGGGCTAAAACCGACCGTCTACTGAGGAAATTACAGTGAGGTACCTTACGTAGTGTAACATCCTCTTGCTAAACTATTATTTTCTTATTGTTCAACATCATCTCGTTAATCTTCAGTATTAAGCTATACCTGTGGCCATGAGTTCCACATTGCAGTCTGTAATCCCATTGAACCCAAAGAGCGATGGCGACATATATCACTTTTTGTCTACTTTTAGTTCAAGGTGATCGGTAAGAAGGACCCACCGATTCATCCAGTAATATATACATATAAAAGTCCGAAGAACGCGGAGTAATTACAATGAGTGGAGAGGAAATTCAGGTAAGGAACGTGTTTGCTTCAAAATGCCGGTTGGTGATGTGGTCGCTCAGGTCCGAGGATAATTTAGTCTAAGATCACTCTTTTGATCCTCAAATACTGAACCCGTGGAGAGAAAATTGAGATAAATAATTCCTTTGGCTAAGGGTTGTTCTCCAGACTGGGCTTGTAACCCAGCTGAGCTAAATTTTAGATATGTATCAAAGAGACATGTACAAATCAGTCGTGCAAAAATCACTGAAACACGATGCAGTACACGCACACGAAAACCTGATGTTACGTTTAGCGCAGTTTTACCTGCTTGTGTTGACGTAAATCTTTCAAAATACGTTTACAGTGTTTGTTCTAGTAGCAGAGAACTCGGTTACGTAAGTTCTCCCAGGGTTGTCACGCCATCCACCCCCAGCACCGGGCGGGAGCGCGTGGTGTATCAAAATAAGGGATAATCCCTTAAAATCCGTTAGACGCCTGAGTCGTCCAAAAAGAAGACCAGTGAATGATAAGTTCTCTAGTGAGAGTGATCACTGATATGTAGAAGCAACATCGGGGACATTTAAGAAATTTCTTAGCACAGAGTTAATTAGCTTAACGAACAAAAGTTACATCATTTACAGTTGGTTATAATCCAGGCCAAGTTTTGCCACATAATAAGATAATCTCTTCCGCCAGCACACAACCCACCCCCCACTCCCACCCCTCGCGTAGTTCTGTCAAAGTCGGCGGCGTCAATTCTCCAAAGTATTATCAGCTTTATTCAATTAAGGAACGCAGACGTCCATTCAAATAATTGTCACCCTTGCCACGATGTGTGAACCTCATAAAGGTTGTCATATGTGATAGCTAGGCTAGAAGCCAAGCACTAAGGAACTAAAAGAATATGTTTGTTATTCAAAGACTTCCAAGCCCGATGCTGAGAAGAAAAGGAGAGCTTTCGGCTTGACTTACCTCATCGACGAAAATCCACCATGGTATATCTGCTTGTTGCTGGGTTTTCAGGTACGAACTGAAGTGAAACTAGTTCCTCCAATTTCTGTCTTTTTAGACTGCTTACTGTTACCGTAGGTCCATCTGTACAGTCATTTAACAAGTCTGTCATGGCCAACAAACGGCCACATAACAATGATGGAGTTTGTAGGAGTTGTTAAGGCTGAGATTCACCAAGGCCCTGGCCAAAGGAGGCAATGACACGTAATAGGCACATGTCAGAGGGATAATCTGCCTCTAGGGACATGGACTGAGATTTCGATGAAAATCTTTGCCTCTGTAATAGAATCTGGTCTAAGCAACAAGTCCCGAGTTTCTCAATTTTCCATTTGAATCGAAAAGTCAAGATCGAAGATTCTAAACATAATGTCTCACAAAGAACACTCAGCGAACTTGTGGTTAAGAAAGAAAATTGAAGGGAAAGTGAGTTTTGTGACTCTGTAGAAAAGAAAGTGTTATTTTACGGTACGAGACAGAGGAATGCCTTAATAATTTGAATGTTGCTTTTTTAATCAACATTATTATTCTCATTATTTCAGCATTACCTTACAATGCTAGGAATGAATTGAATGTTGCTTTTTTAATCAACATTATTATTCTCATTATTTCAGCATTACCTTACAATGCTAGGAGGAACTTTGTCAATTCCCTTCATTCTTAGCGGTCCGATGTGTTTTGGTAGTAACACCCTTGCCATTAGTGAAGTTCTGAGCACGATACTTTTTGTTTCTGGAGTTGTCACTTTGTTGCAGTCAACGTTTGGAGTCAGGTAGGGGTCAGACGTTCTGTCACTGTAGGTCATACTTCAGAGTAATATCTACGCGGACAAGCCTTTTTTCTATAGTGTATGGCTATTTAATTTCTTTGGATGGATATGGCATGGAATTTGCCTCACCGTTTCTTGACATGTAAAAAAGATGCAAGGAGAAGAAGAGGAAATGTTGGAAATTCAGGAACGATAAACAAAATTTAAATCTCTACATCGATTGGACGCAATTTCAATCATTGCTTCATTTCCCCACCATGATGTAAGTAAAATACGAGGTTAGCACGATATCTCCAGCTTGAAAATACTCAAAGATGTAACCTTTCTTTAATACCAACTCTTTGTTTTGTAAAGTCCTGATCAAAGGTATAACGGTCGGTAAAAGACAATTTTAAAACAGCTCAACTTCCATCTTATTAATGTAATTGCTATGCTCCAAAGAGCGCTCAAAAAGTTTTTGGCAAGGCTAAGGCGCGGTAAATTAAATGACGGCTAAAGGCCGAATGAATACGTTGATTAGACTTTGTAAATGAAGCTTTGTAAATTTCGATTATGCCACCATGCATAGCTCCCGCGAGTGACCAAGACAGAATTTCTCCTTAAGAAATCAATACAATATCAAGCAGACTACTAATGAGAATAAAGAAAACTATCAATTACGGTTTTATTAGTTGATGCAATACCAAATCCACCAAAGTCACATATTAAAAATTGAGTGGCAGACAGTAAGTAGAATTGCTAATGAAATCTTGGGAGTGAAAGGTGTCAATTTTTCGGGGCTGAACTTTCTGTAGGTATTTTTTCAATGAATATAAAAAAAAAACGTTCACCGGAGCATAGAGGCTTTTGACGATCACGTTAAATATTCCAGGTTCCCAGTCGGAGGAGAGGCCAGGAGCAAAACAGCAGGTGGTGGAACATTTGTGGGCTCTGGGAAGGAGCTATCTCTCCACGTTTCTAATCCTTGCTCGTATTACTTTCTGCTTTGTCTCCACAAACCAAGTGCCTAAATTGGCTGCAATCACCCATCCAGTTCAGATCAATTCCAATCTTCCGAAACTCCGCTTCAAGGATTCAGGGATATGGCTAAGGGAAGGTCCTTCAATGCCCGTTATTATCGTCATTCCTTTCCCCCTTTGTAAGATCAATTAGTTTTTTCAACACAAGAACCTTGTAATGGAGCTGAAAAAGCGGACATGATGAATCTATCCAGTAGGAAAATGTCACTCTTAAAAAACACAGGGATTTCGACATGACGGCAGGGTTGACATATTGAGAGTGACACAGTTGAATTCCTCCCCTCCCCTCTCAAGTGTTTGAAAACTCCCAGTCACCCTCCCTCCCGGGACTCAGCTCAATCTATCAAGTTGCTCTATTGAATCTTCTTATTTTGGGAATTGCAGGCTGCCGATCATTCAGGGAGGGGCTTTTTCTTTTCTGACACCGACTTTTGCCATTTTGTCTCTACCTCAGTGGACGTGTCCTAAACCTGAAGGTCAGTTGATTGTTTGCTTTTTAACAAGCCAAACAAGGACCTTCTTTCAACGATTAATTGAAAGGTTGAATTAACTGAAGGTGTTTTTTTTGTGTCATGATTGTTTGACCATTTGTCGAGTAAATAACAATTAATCGTGGGCTGAATTGCTGAATCCAATTGAACGATTACGTATTGAAGCCCTCGCCAGTTCGTTTGTCTCTCTTCAGGATTATCTTACACATGCTTGATGATTACACCGACAAACAGAGAGACATACAGATTGACAATTTGGTTTTTATTAAGTCACCTATTGCCTATACGACATTACTTTTCAGCTAGTTAGAATTTAATCATGTAAGTGCTAAAACATAACGTTATCTTTCAAAAGAATACAGTAACTCAACATTGGAAATGTCCGAAATCTGGAAACCTCGGATGAGAGAGGTAAATATAAAAGTCAAAATGATTTACAACACCGTGATCCTTCTCCTCATCACTTTCGTTCTCATTTGTCAAATCGATTATGAACCAAAAAATCGTCTTTTTTGCATTAGATCCAAGGTGCCATAATGGTTTCATCATTATTTCAAATGTTGGTTGGCTTCACTGGAATTGTTGGTTTTCTTCTCCGTTTCATCGGACCACTGACCATAGCGCCCACGATAACTCTTGTGGGTCTGGCTCTTTTCAACGTAGCAGCAGAACACGCAGGTATCTAATTCTAGCATCCATACCGTGGTGAATAATCTCCTTTTTTTGTATTTACGCTAACAATCGATTGTTTGTTTCATGTTAAAAGGAAACCATTGGGGAATTTCAATGACGTGAGTATTACATGGATTTGCATTGTCTAGAGGTTAACAGAGTTGAAAGGTCTGGGTTCGAACTCTACTTGGATCATTAAGGAAAAATCCTAACTCTCACAATGCCATTAGCTGGCCGGGTTACCGAGGGTTAAATGGCTTTACGCCGGGAGAAAACACCCTGGATGAGAAACAATTCTCATAATGGCTTTATGTTACAGAAATTGGGAGAAGCTTTGTCAAAGATGATCAGAATCTTATTTTTTTACAGCTGCATAACTCAATCTAATTTAAATTACGCTAGTCAGTGTAGTATGGTTGAAAATGTGGACATCCGTGTGCTTAGGCCACACTAGTAGTTCTTTCCCCTAAGTTTGAACATTAATCTTCGTGTGGTTACCTCTGTAAGAAATAAGTACACTCTTTCGATGCATTGTGAACATAAAGCGTTTCTAAAGCAGACGTTTCGAACGTAAGCCCTTCGTCTTTCGCTCTGACGAAGTGCTAAGGTTCGAAACTTCAGAAAGGTTACGGTGGCCATTTAAGTTATCAACTCAGTTGATAATACTAAATTACCCTGCTATACTCTCCCATCGACGTAGTACCACAGTTTCTTTAGAACTCACCTCCTTTAATCATTTGTCTTTTGTGTATTGCAGGACGATCGTGTTAATTGCCTTGTTCTCACAATACCTTACCAAAATAAAGATTCCATTTCCTGGATACAGCAAAGAACGTAGAGAGTGTTACGTTGGTCACTATCCGTTGTTCAGACTGTTTCCGGTGAGTGTTATGTAGCGAGGACTGCTGAGTGCCATTCGGGCTAAGGTTTAGGGAACAATAGAACATGACCTTTAAATTTCAGGGAATATAAGACACCTCGTAAGTACAAATAGCGAACACTGAAACATTGACTTGTGGAGGTAATGTGGGAAGCAAAAACTCATTTCCTACAAAGGAGTCGTTCGCTTTTTATCTCGATAAACGGGCGCTGGCTATGCAGGCTGATTTAAATCATTTGAGTGTATCTGCATTGATAGATGGCGAAATTTGAAATACGTCACCTTCGGCGTTTAAAATTTCTTTGTGATTTACCGCTGCTCTCTTTGTTTTGTAACGCACAATATTACTGCGATAACTGCCCGCCGGTTTTAACAGGTGATCCTCGCGATTGCTGTATCTTGGATAATTTGCGCCATCATCACCGCTTCGGGAGGTTTTCCCTCTGATCCTAGTGTTCCTCAGTACATGGCCAGGACCGATGCCAGAACTGTTGTATTGAGAGAAGCAAAATGGTTCAGATTTCCCTACCCAGGTTAGTACAGGATATGACCACGATTCAGCGTCAATGATATTCATGCTCCGTCTGATTTGCCTCACAAGTGAGTGTCCTCATTGATAAAACTCCTTGGTCCATACCTTAAAAGCGACACTGACAGGTGGAATTGATTGTTTCTGATACACATGTGCTAAGATTTTCTTAAATTCCGTCAATTTCGCGGCATTTTTTCAAGACATGACTATATTATGGTAGAGGTTCAATTTCACGTTGCCCTCTTTTTAGGTCAGTGGGGAACGCCTTCTGTTAGTGCTGCAGGGGTGTTTGGAATGCTTGCTGGCGTGCTGGCCTCCATTATTGAGTCCGTAGGTGATTACTACGCATGTGCGAGATTGGCAGGAGCACCACCACCGCCAAAACACGCAGTCAACCGTGGCATCGGAATGGAAGGAATGGGATGTCTCTTAGCAGGAGCTTTTGGTACCGGGAATGGTACTACTTCATACAGTGAAAACGTAGGGGCTATCGGGATAACGAAGGTAAATTGTTTCAAGAGAAACGGAAAGTGTTGAAGAGGAAATCGTAAAGGATATAAAAGTTTTAGTAAAACAGCCAGTCCACGATTACAACAAAAGTTCGATATATTGAAGCATCAGAGAACTGGCGAAATGAGACAAATTCTCTCGAACCTAAAATTTTTATTGGTTTGAAAATTCAACTCTTTGTACAGGCGTGGGGCTTCGTTTTAATGTTTGACTATTTCTGTCAAGACTCAACCCGAATCGCTTGGCCCTATTTCGTTGGATTTACAAAGCTGTATAAAAAAATTACTTCATGATGTTATAATTTTGATGTATAATCAGGTTGGAAGCCTCCGTGTCATTCAATTTGGGGCTTTGGTACTGATGGTTGTTGGCGTTCTCGGCAAATTTGGCGCGTTGTTCGTCTGCATTCCAGATCCCATCGTCGGTGGAGTATTTATGGTCATGTTTGGAATGATTACCGCTGTTGGAATCTCCAATCTGCAGTTTGCTGACATGAATTCCTCCAGGAATCTGTTCATTGTTGGATTTTCTACTGTATTTGGATTGGGTCTGCCGTATTACATGAAAAATCACGAGAACGCGATTAGCACAGGTGATCTTTTATCAGAATATTAAATCTTTTGAGTTAAATCAATTTCGAATATCGCTATCATGCTAAATGGTACTCTTAATCGGACAAAACCTGTCTAAACCAATAAATTGATGGGAAAGTGGTTAAAGGGAGAGATCTTTATGTAATGTTTCAACTATTTTGGCCGAGATTGTGTCCTGTTTGAATCGAGCCCTTTCTTAAGTTGAAAGGAATCTAGTGCATGAATTTGTAAGCCTACATAGTCGGCGCTTACGCCCTAATTTTGCCAATACCAGCGTCATTGTGTAAAAATTTCGTAATTCGTGCATTTGTGATCAGAGTTCTTATTGCATGGCATTAATTGCATCATTCACTCAGTAGGTGTCCCAGAAATTGACCAAATAATTACAGTACTCTTCAAAACAAGTATGGCAGTAGGGTGTATTTCTGCTCTGATTCTGGACAACACCATCCCTGGAACCGACGAGGAGCGCGGTATAAAGGCATGGAGGGAGCATCTGTCAGATGAAAGTGAGGGACAGATGGAGACAGCCTCCATTAAAGTCTATGACCTGCCGTTTGGTCTCAACCGCGTCACTAACTTCAAAGTGGCCAAGTATTTGCCTTTTCTGCCGAACCACGAAGAGGAACAACAAGTAGCATACGATGTGGAAATGAACAGCGTTTCTTAAGTGTTGAAGCATTCTTTAGACAGCATGCAACATCTCCAGTTATTTTGCTGGAAACTCTGGTTTATTAATTCATAATCCAGCGTCAACGTAATAAGGCCTTCACTCACATGTATCTCGATTTATGAATTTGTTAGTGTTCTTTTTAGAACTTAGTAACTTCTGTCGCTGCGGGTGATCATAAAAACAATTGAGGCATCTCTTCCGATTTGTCGTATTAAATTCTTAACTTTATATCCTGACTTTTAGTTTCGGCTTCAGAAGCGTAGTCAAAAAGCTCTTTGTAAACCAGTGGCATCAAGTTTTGTTGTAACCAGTACGTCTTCCAAAAGACAAGTAAAAAAAACACTCCTTGTGTTTACATTTCTCCCGATGATTACTTACTGTCATATGACCCGTACAGCGTACAATTCCAAAGAAAACCATTATGAAAGCTGACGTGTGTAGGGCTGGATAGTTTGACGTGAGCCGGTCCGGAAAAAGCCGTTCGGCCCTCTAATGACAACAATTAAAGGAAAAAAGAAGAGAGTAGAAAATAGTCGCGTTTTTCGATGAATTGTGTGTTTCTTGCTCTGACTAAAAAAAAAAAACAAACAAACAAACAAAGAAAAAAACGAAAATCAAAAAACAACGGAAAAAATTTAATTGTATAATCTTTTTTGTGGCTGTCCCGTGTTCGCCCGTCTATCGCTTAGTGGTCTTGTGATAAACTGGTTGATATACCCGGACGGGTATATAATGCGACTCTCCGTCGTGATGTCCGGCCTTCCCACTCAGTCAAAAGTACATGTTGGAAGCCAAATTTCTTGAACGAACAGGAAATTACTCATCATGCTAAACTTATTGTAAATTGTCGTATCAGGAAAAGAGTAGAACTATATCAAAATGCAAAATTATATCCTGGGTCTAAAACCACTTTGGAAGAAATTAGCTATAGTTTACAACTTGAAGAAGGATACAGAATTTTTGATTGAATTCAAGTTATCAGTTTGAAAAAAATCACCCTGATTGAGTCCATATCAACAGCTAACATCTCTGACAATTTATTGAACCTATGCTGTTTTCTTATCGATTCCTTTTTGTACTTTGCCACGATATAGATGACCATAAATATCTCTCTTTGGGAGAAAGATATTCCAGCAAGTTGTGAAGGAAAAACTATGATAAATTGCCACGGTTTGATTTTCACGAAGTTCAGCTAATCTAAATATATCTCTTCAGTGTGTTCTTTGCTTTCGAGAGTGTCACCACAGGAGAGAGATCGAGGGGTAAAAAAAAAAAAGAAACTGGAGTTTCACACAAAACATGAGAATATGAACAGTTTATGATCTCTTGTACAAGATTAATAACTTACTCAATTGTCAGCGTTTGAAGACAATGGTAGAAGGTCTCAGTGGGGTAACCCTCTAACTCCCATCAGTGACCACTACAGAATTTCTTCTTACAATATCAATACAATATCAAGCAGACAAGTGATGAGAATAAAAAAAATATCAGTTAGGGGATTATAAGTTGATCCAATACGAAATTCTAAACTAACATCACAAGAACTGTATGGCAGACAGTAAGGAGAATTACTTTGAGATCTTGGGAGTTAAGGGTTAACCGACGGCCGTAAAACAGTCAGAAAATATAACCGTTGGCGTAAAAATTGACAAATTTGAACCGTTAATCGCTAAAATATTAAACACAAAAAAATTTGTGGTGACAATGATGGAAAGATGTTAACTGTTAGCCGTAAATTGGCCAAAATTTAAACCATTAGCAGTAAAAGCCATCACCCCATTGAGGCCCTCATAGTAAAGTCTTAAAACTTAATCTAGGCACATTGACAAAAGCCCTCATTTGGTAAATATAAAAACTGCCCGGCCTGACTCAGTTCGTTTTCGTTATCAAGATCCACCATGGCGGTTGGAGTAGCTTCAAATTTTAAAAAGGATCTTACATGGATTTGACTTATGTTCTGCAACAGAGTAGATTTATACTTAATGGATGGAAATTCACGACGGAAAGGATGAAACAGCCAATCGGTCTGTTCATACGCAATGCCTCGCTTGGTTGTAGACGTTCAGGAACAGCTCTCTTTGTGAGGCTATTTTCGTTCACAGGAAAAAATGCACTGGCTTGAAATGAAGTAAATGGCTGTTCGGCAGAGCAATTGTTAATTGAGTATCGATAGTAACTGGTGAGAGCGCTAGTTTGCATAACTGAGCACAGTGGCTGACACAGAAAAATCACGCTTTCCTTTTAACCAATAAAATGCAAAGCTAAACCCAGTGGAGACCTGATTGCCTAGTTTTTCCTCAGGTAGTCTGCCTCTTTAAACCGCGATTATAGTCTTTTTGAAATGTAAACTATTGTCTCGATTTCCCAATGTCATGAATTCGCTAAATGATCGAAAAATTCAATCGAATTGCGCCTTAAAAAATTGTACACTAAGATAATGAGCCACGATTGCAGATATAACCCATACTGTGTCCTTTTTTATTTTTAACAGGTTCAACATGCATTGAAACACCAGCACCTTCAATGGAAATTAAAAAGACAACCATTCCTAGCAAACTAAACATCAAAGCCCCTAGTTCCTCCTTCTATTTTACCATGAAAAGCCCAATGTTTGAAAAACTAACACCATCAATAATTAGTGATCTTGAATTCAGCTCTAGCATGCAATGTTCAAGCACTTGTCACAGTGATTTGACCAATGTGACGTCGGTTGGAGAAATTGTTATTGCGCGTGCCCATGTAACAGTACTTTCCAGGTTTTGTGATGCGGAAGCACGGTGGGTTGCAAGAGGGCGGGGCATTGTTAAGCTCGTCATCCAGCACTTGGTTACGGGCTAAACATCCCCAGTTGAGGTGAAGATTTAACAAGTAACCGTCAAAATCTTCAACGTAGTCAATGACGTCAAGAGGGAGATTGAAACAAGATTTCGGGGCCAGTGTTGTACACCCTTCCTTAATCCAGCAAACGTTTGTGCGATCCGTACCTAAAAAATACCCACGAACGTATTAGTAAACTTTGTGCGTGATTCCTCCTTCTTTCAAGTTCTTTGCGGTAGTATCTACATGTTCTGAGCATCGTTACTCTTATTGTGAATAAATGTGATAAATATGTCCAGCATTTTGTTACCTGCTGTTCCTTGTCCGTCATAGTTCGAAGGATTGTTGTTTGAACCTAACAGATAGCAAAAAATAATCATTAGTGCAATTTTGGTTTAGTCTTTGAGGTATCTACAACATGATTTTCGTAAGGGTACAGTCTTGAATGGCCCTTATAATGCTGTGGTGCATACTTAACATAAGAAAAGCGAAACCAAATTGACCTTAGTAAAAGGTTATAAATCATTGTCGACAACGAAGAATTTAGAAAAGTATAAAACAAAAGGAAAGGAGGACAGACGAAAACTGGGAAGGTAAATTGCTTGTAAGCTACTTTTAGGCTAAACTGTGTAAGTTTTTTTATGAAAGAAGAGTAAAATAATGCGAAAAACTTTGCACTATAATTATCTCTTGGAGAGAATGAACCTAGGTTTCAATTCAACTTGCTATTAAACTAAAAGTTTTTCTTCATACCAGACCAGACGAAACACACAATTTCCTCTGTTGTGACAGAGATGCGTTCAGGAAAAAAACGATATTCCATGGCAGGATAGGTCTGTACAATGTTCCCTCTTTTTCCCATCCCCCCGATGTAGCGAATGGTGCGATGCTGATGTTCCGGTTGCAAAAGGTTTCGCGGTTTAAGAATGATCACATGACTTCTGTCTTGAAAGGTTCTGCCAACCTGTGCGGTATTCAAAGCTAGTTGGAGGTCGGTTTCATTATCAACAGCTTTTGTTGTCGGGTTATTGGCCAATCTGGAATGGATACAATGACACTGTTACACAATGCCGTAAGTGTTGCCCCAAGATGGCTAAAATTTAACATAACTATCTATAAAATAGCAGCAGTATGATTTTGAACAAGAACGTCCTGAAGTAGATATCCTGTCAGTCATTCCTTACACCAAATTTCATCTTCTTTTATGTTATACATACTTACGTTCATTGTATAATTTATTGCGAGTAATTATTATTTTCAGGAATTCTGAAACTGCATGGTTAGAGTTTAAAAATTCTTTTACAGAAGACTTAAAAACTCTCAATTCTCTTCGAGAGAATTGAGGGTTGTTCCATTCATATTTCGCGCGGGCCTGCTTCTCTATCAAGACTCAAATAAAATCCCTCTTTCCTTATGCAGCCAAGAAATTGAGGGACAAATTGTACAAACGAGTAATACTTCCCATTTATAACTGATTTACATGGCCTTCTAGAAACTGTGCTTAAAATCGCAAAAATTAGTCTGTACAAATGCTTTGTTGATCAAGTTGTGAGCTGGTTTATAGAGAGATGCAAATGTTGGTTTCCATTTTCCGGAAATTTTATTGGTTTCTATTAAAAGGAAATTGGTTGCGTTTTTTAGTAAAGCTTCCCAATTGGATGGGAAAAAAGATGCGATTTAGAGCAAACAATGGTGCGATTTGTGAATAACTCACACCAATAGAGCCAATCATATTACAAGGATTACCAATTTCAAAAAATTAAAAAATGGATGTAATTAAAGAACTATGATGACACTTGCCGGTGATTATCATTAGCATCGAAATCCCTCGGTGCATCAGAAGTTGTGATGTTGTACCTGAAATAAAAGTTATATACATCTATATATATATATTTGATTGTACTTGGATACATAGTAGGCAAAGGAAGTTGGTCCAAATAGTAATGTTGGCTTTGGGATCATCTTCACCGTCTTTTAATATTTAACTTAGAACCATTCCCAGTCAGTTTCATTAAAAATTTACCGAAAACTGAGTCTTTAAGTTGGATATCCACCCAAGGGTGTAACAATTTATGCATCATTTCTTGAATTTGGTTCCCTCATGCCTATGCAAATTAATATAGCTCTTGGTAATTTGTCCAGTCCTGTAACTAGCTAGCTTAAAATTTGAAATTCATTGATATGGTAAGGATTCTGTGATACCCAAGTGAATAGCAACTTCCGAACTGCTTAACTGTTAAAAAACGTTACATTTGAACCCCGATAATTCTAACCCTCGCTTACTCGAAACTGGAGCTAACTGGAACCAAAATCGATTTACCCTGGATCTCCATCATACAATTAATGCAATTTTTCCCTTGAAAATTCGAACCCTCGATAACTCGAACCTCTCACAAGCTCGAAACAATTTTTGTTTCCCTTCAATTAATTCTCTATATAATTTTACCCTCATTGACTGGAACCGCGACGTCGTTCGCTTTAAAAACTGCAAAGTTCGAAGTACCTCGACTTTAATACTTCACCTCTCCTACTTCTTTGCCTCCTTTTACGTTACATTATGATTTCTCAGTAATTTAGTGTTCCATTTCAATCGCCTTCTCTATAATTCGATTTGATTTCAAATGTATGCTTCATGAATAGAAAAACAGTAAAGAGCGTTTTTTCCTTTTTTCCAGTGCTTTGTTTTTAACGCCTGATAACTCGAACCTTTTTTCAATTTCCGGTGAAGGTTCGAGTTATCGGGAGTACACCGAATGTTTGTCTTTCTCACCTTATCCGTATTACACAACGTTGTGTTGTGTTGGATGGAAAGCAAGGGACCTTCCATCTGTAAGAAGAAAATTTTCCTTCCATGTTTATTCCGTTGTGGTTGACGACGGTAGATGGAGCGTAGATCACTTCAGGAGGTCTGTTAAGAAGAACATATTGTTTCTGATTATCACATCCTTGTGAGATCTTGTGTGCTTCGTAGGGCACGCCTTTTGCCAGTTTCATGTCATCGTAACCGCGGCAAGTGCTCAACACTCCAGCAGTCTCCTCCAAGTAATTTGTGATGAACCTTGTCCAATTCCCTCCAGCCGCTTTACACTTTTGCCTGGTGATGTATTTGGCGACACATTTTTTAGCAACAACACCTTGGTTGTCTGGGGGGCAGTCAGTTTGATCCTTAAGTCCTTTTGACATGATGCACATATCTGAAAGGGGAGCCAGAAGTAAGTACAGGAAGAAGGGGAACGATTTTGAAAGAGTTTCGCTGTTAAAATGTCTTACATTTGAGCCCATAATTGGACCTATTAACGTATTTCTTCATCAGCTCCTCAGTCTTTTTATCGCTGACAAGGATAGCAATATCCTTCCATGGTGTGGGTCCCCAGTATGGATAGTAATCGCGTTCTTCAGGGACCTCCATGCCCCTTATGGTACCTTGACTATTCTGCCGCGTATAAATTGATAAATCGCCAGCAAGCTGTTGGTCAGCGGTGAATAAGCCTGTGAAGGATGAAAAACGTTTTCTTTCATAAGACAGATCGATTCCTGGTTAAAACACAATTTATTTCACGCAGATTTGGTATTTTGAAACACAAATTTTCTAATTGTTCAATGCCTTTATACTTTTCTGATTTGCAAGATCGTTGCCACAGTAACGGTTCCCTTTGGGTAAAGACCTTACATAGATACGGAAACTAGGGTTGATAGATAGAGACACAGAGAGAGAGAGAGAGGGGGGGAGGGAGAGAGAGAGAGAGAGAGAGAGAGAGAGAGAGAGAGAGAGAGAGAGAGAGAGCGAGAGAGAGAGAGAGAGATAAACAGTAATCTTACCTTTATTTCTATATCTGCGATAATAAGCTTGATAGTAATTGTACGGCTCATGAAGTCCGTTTTGTTTTGAAATTTGACTTGACTCTTGATTCTGGTCAGCAAATGTGTTAGACGCGGATGTTTGACCATTTCGAATGGTGTGATATTCGTAGTCGGTATCCACATTACCAGTGGGCATTTTGCCTCCCGGGAACGGCTGGCACATGTACTGTAAAATGACTTGTGTTTCTACCCTGTCGTCAGTCTTTGGTCCTGTTCCATGCTGATTTGTCCACATGATATCCACTTCAGTTTTCACATGAGAGGAGCACCCACTCATGTAAAATTCCTAAAAAAGCAAAAGCAGATTAAAATAATCAGCCCTGTTGAAAAGGTGAATCCTGGACGAAAAGAAGAAATGTTGAGCGTTTGATTATTTAAAGTAAAGAGTGATAGTTTTAAAATTGTATTATTTTTAAATAGCTACATAAGTAGCGAAAGAAAGGAAGTCTCAATTACTTGATAACGTGAACATTGCAAAAGTGATAAATAAAAGCAAATGAGTTTTTGAGACGTGAGAAGGGTGGAACTGACTGCTTTTCTCCTAGCTTGTTGATAAGTCCAAAATGCCGAATTTCAAGAACTTAATTTTAAGGGACACCGGAAGCATTTGTTTTTGCTTAGCGTTACCATTGGTTCTTGTCTGTTCTCATTGATATTGTCCCCAGGGTTATCAGGATATTTGTCACCCACGTTGTACCCACACTTGTCGTTGTTCTAAAAAGAAAAAAAAAAGACGAGTGTATGATTCGAGAGAACTGAATATACTTAGCAAGGAAATAAGTTAGACTGAATGGAGTTAAATATATGTGGAACGCATCTTGACCACTAAGTACAGAAGTTTTGATTGCTATCCCTCAGAAACACCCAACTGTTTTAACTTTGGAAGACATGCATTCAAGACCGAAATAGAAAGCACTTTGAGAGGCTTGTTAGACCCAATATTTTCCAAGTTACCTTTCATCACCTTGAGAAAGCAGATCTTTACAGTCCTTGATACTCTCACCAAAACTTATAGCTTTTCTTGCGAGTAAATCCGACACTATTTGAATTCGCTATGCAGAAAGAAATTAGTGCTCAGCATTGTAAATGATTTCAGAACGCGGTAATTTAAACTTCATTGATATGCACCCTCAGACTTATATGAAAGACCGCAAAATTCCAAGAGAGGGAAAATTGAGGGTTTGCAGTATGGGTTAAACCACGCACAAACACAGAAATACACACCTGTTATTTTGCATTACCGTGTTTGATGGTCTACAAGATAGATATACACTCCCTCAAACTGTAAGAATTTTAAAGTTTTTTGTCGCGCCAAAAAATGAAAAATGAAAAAATGAAATAAATGAACGTTAAATTGCTTTTAGGTGCTTCACGGGTTTTCGGTAACAACCACAAAGAAATGAACCATAGTTTGCCTTCTATGCAGTGTAAACTTTGTTACTGTGTATATTGGCGTTTTACGTGATACATTTTTAGTCGCTCGAATCGTAAGAATTAAGTTGTTTGTCCCGCCAATGAATGAAACCACTTTTTTATCGACACAGATCACGAAGACTGTTATGAGTTTAGAATTGAAAAATCTAAACTGCTGTTAGGTTAACTTCGTGCTCGGGACCTGGAAGACATGCTTGAATATGGTTGGAAAAGTTTGCTTCTGGCCCATTCGTAATCATCTCAAATTGATAGCCATTGCATTGACGTGCTATAATTTAAGCAGTACACTACATGAACAAGCATACAACTATTTGTGTATTCTTCAACAATTGCTCCGTTTTTTTTCTTTGCATGTTACATTTACCCATGAAGTTCCCGTTCATATTGCTTGAGTATAGATAGAATTGATAAAAACACACACAATACAGACTAATCAATAAAAGATAATGAAATATAAAAACTTTATAATTGATCGTCTTAAAAAATGAAGGAAATTTTAATAGAGAATAAATCTAATTTCTCCATTGCTCTTCAGGTGGCTTTAAGGTTTGCCTAATATTGCAGAGATTAACTGTTTACAATTACTGCTAGGTTTTTTTAAACAATGATTCCGAAATTCATGCCTTAAAGATGATTAAGGGTTTTTAGGACTACATCATGTAGAAGTGTATGACACAAAAAAATATTACACTGATCTGACCATCAATCATAAAAAACGTTATGAGTCCTTTCCTATTACCTTTTCAGTAGTCAATTGAAATTTTGAAATTATTGAAGAATTCAGAACTTTCGTCAAGGAGTGTGATTAGTTTATTATTTCAAAAATAATGATGTGAAAAATATATAAAGTTTTTTCGTATTTAACTGTACGTCAAATGAGAGTATATGTTCCACGTTCAAATTATGACTTATTTGTTTCAGTAATAATCAACATCCTTGATGGATTTTCATTGCAAGATACCTTAGCTTAACTTTCGTCTTTTTCCTTTAACATAAGGGAAAAGTGTGGTAGTCTTTTTCAGTGAACTATGTTACTGTGAAAAATGATACATGCAACTTGGTAGTCCAGGTGATGGTAGTCCTGAAAAGGGGTGATCTGACTGCAAATCCGGGCGACTTTGGAAACCTTAGAGGTAAAGACGAGTTGAAATTTTTCCTGGACAGTCTTCTACCAGAAGATAACTAAGAAATTTTTACATTATACAGAACTAATGTATAAACAGCGGTAGCTAGTGACATAGAAATCATGATGTCAGCCTAACTGACTTTGATCAGAGTTGTGTTCAATTTCTGTCACAAAATAATTATGTAATGCTCTGTGGTTTGCACCAAAAAAATCCGAGACTCAAGCTCTGAATCGTTTTTCTGGAAAGGGCAGCCTACCTGTGAATCAAAGAGTCTGGCATTGTTTGCAACATTTTCACCCGCGCCATTCAAGCGATTATTGGATCCTGGCGGGAAATGCATGTATAAATCTGACTTGCAAGGCTTCGTATGAAGGGCAAGAAGACAAACCAAGATCAATAGCTTCATTATGTCTGGTGTAACTGAAAGAAACAAACTTTAAAATTATCAAGTTGAAATAGAATGAAGATTTTAAAGTATATTCTCAAGTAATGCAATAATTTTCGCTGGGGAAGTGCAATTTACGCCATTGCAGAAAAAGACATAGTTTCAGTTTTTAAAAATAAAATTTATTTCGAACGAATTATGATTGACTGTTATTAAGAGAAAATTTCTTTGAGCTTTTGACTATGTACTTCCAGAACGCTGGAAATTTTGAAAATTGCTTGCGATAAATGTATACCATAAAACGTAATTACGTGTAACATGGAAAGAAACGAAATTCAGGGTCATGAATTGCTTAGAGAATATCTACCTCGATGTCCTATGTGGCGCACGAAGTAGCTGATTTTCGCCCTTTTCTTGATAGCGGCTTGTCCTCCGTGTGCCTTGATGGGGTGTAAAGTAAACAAGACATTTCATTTCATTTATCAAGAAACATCTGTGTTACGTTCCTGCTTTGAGATAAAATAAGTCCTTTATTCCTTACCTTATATCTTTTTAAACTAAGAGTTTTAAAGGTGCTTTAACGTTTACTGAACTTAAAGGTCTAAGACTGATCCTTACTGTTTCGAACTCATGAGCAATCTGCCCAACTAACTCTCAAAGCGTTGTTATAAGAAAAACATTTAGAAAAGACAATGTGTCTATTGGTTGCTGTTGACATTGTGAGCTCGCTGATTTATTGCGTTGGAGAAATGTCTTGGAGCACCTCATTAGCCAATCTATCAACTTTATTTGTTGGTGTTCGCGTTTTAATTTTCAGGATATTTTTCTAGTTATTCGTTTCGTCTAATGCTTCGGATGGTTTCTTAACGTCTACAATTTTTTTGCTTAGTGTAAAGCAATGTTTGAGCTTGTGCTTAAAGTTTCGTCTGCGTTTGCAGTGACAATTTCTACCGAAAGTAGTCAGGAACTGGCCAAGGCCTGGGATACCATACGTGGAAAGTAAATATACAAAGCGCGTGCTGTTGCTCATAGAAACTTTGCATTCTGAATTATATGTAAAGAAAAGTGTCTTTCGTGGAAATAATTGCACTGACACGAATTAATTTCTATGTTGCTCATAGAAAGTTTACATTCTGAATAATATGTAAAGAAAAGTGTCTTTCATGTGACATATTACACTGACACGAACTAATTTAAACTGATTGCAGGTTAATGTTATTACCTTTGTTGCATAAATAATTTGGGCTTTTCTATGATGAAATTATGCGTTGCAGCCCTGGCAACTCTTTCTCTGAGTAAAGTATTGGCTCCCGGAAATTTTTACAAGGAATGTTTCGTAATTGCCCTGGCTATGACTTAGAGTGTCCTTAGTTCAAGTTATCACTTGAACTGAATTATATGTATAGAAAAGTGTCTTTCGTGGAACTAATTGTACTGACACGAATTAATTTCTATGTTGCTCATAGAAGGTTTACATTCTGAATAATATATAAAGAAAAGTGTCTTTCGTGTGACATATTACACTGACACGAACTAATTGATTGCAGATGTTATTATGTTTGCTGTATCTTCGCATAGGTTTGCGCACGTGATGAATGAATCGCGTGAGGCACTTTTTTACGCCACACATGAAGTAAGTGCGAAAATAAACTACTGGAATATTAAGCTGAGAGGGAGCTTTTGGGTGCCCTGTGTATCCCATGTTCTTTTTTCGTATGACTCGAGCTCTTCTTACGCGATTTCCTCTTACCACCTTCGGCGATTTCAATAAACAATTTGAGCTTCTCTATGATGAAATTATGCGTTGCAGCCCTGGCAACTCTTTCTCTGAGCAAAGTATTGGCTCTCGGAAATTTTTGCAAGGAGTGTTTCCTAATTGCCCTGGCTACGACTTAGAGTGTCTTTAGTTCAAGTCATCACTTATCTTTTACATCGAATCCTAATTAATGGAGATCAGTGCAAAGTATCACAGCAGAATTTCCTAAATTGTTCATAACGCGTTTCTGTAATAATCAAGGGCGCAAATTAAATTTATTATGAAACGATCAGAAAGGAAAACTCGCCAATAGATCCTGGTTAACCCAAACAAATACATTTCATTATGAAGTAATCAAACTTCTTTACTCCAGGATTTATAATTTGTATTTGCTTTCCTTTAAAAAAGATCGCAGAAAGTTTCACCGGGCTACTTAAGATGGCAATGCCAAAAACCAACAACGCCCATATCGTGAACTGGTTCATAGAATGTATGTAATACTGGATACTTAATTCGAATTATTCTAAAAGGGGATCAATCAAAGGAGTTGGGATCATCGTTTCTCGTCTGATGTAAACTGATTTGATAAAAGCCTCTTTACACCAGAGATGAAAAAGACAGAATGAGACTCTTCGTAAATGCATGTTAATGAAGGAATTTTCATTTTACTCTTAAGGAAGACTAGGATAAGACTGGGCTTAAGGGCTGATGAGATTTGAATTGGATCATTGGCCAACAGCCCGTACTGAATCAGTGATACAGTACATCTAAATTTCTCAGGGAAACAAATCGGTGCTGAGTCTTGATGTTCTCAATTTAAGTCTCAAGAGGTTTTTGGTCTTACCATGGTTAGGTGAATAATTAGACGTTGTTTTTTCAAGTTTTGGGGTGTGGCTCATTTACGCATTGTGATCGGTGAAAATGGGTCATGAGGTACAAAATACTGCTCTGTGATTGGTTATGAGCCATACTACTGACATATACTACTAACATAAGAATAAAGGGGTAAGTTTCTGACATATGCTACTAACACTTGTGTAGATGTTCCTATTGACGCCTAGGCGGTCACTACAGGAAGGCCTAATTAATTGCATATGCGGAAGTTAACACAAGAGGTTGCCCATGTCGCTGTACTTATAAAGTAATTTTGAAATATAAGCTATTGTCTTGATTTCTCATTGATATTAATTCGCTAAATGCTTGAGAAATTAAAACGAATTGCATCTTAAAAGGTCATCCACTAAGAAAATTAGTCACGAATGCACATATAACCCATAATTTCTCACTTTATTTTTCAAGATAACTGTTCGCAAAACCAACACCTTTCGTAAAAATGAAGTACAACCGTGAACTAAACATAAATGCCCTTATTTCCGCGTTTTATTTTTTGCCACGAAATTCTCAACATTGAAAAACCTACACCATCGAGTAATGATCCTGAATTTAGCTATAGCATGTAATGTTATATCACTTTGCAGGTTTGATGACAGTAATCTGACCAATGTGACGTCGATTGGAGAAATTGTTATTGCGCGTACCCATGTAACAGTAATCCCCAGGCTTCGTAATGCGGAAGCACGGTGGGTTGCAGGAGGCTGGGGCATTATTGAGTTGAGAATCCAGTGGTTTGTCACGGGCTAAACACCCCCTGTTGAGGTGAAGATTCAAAGTGTAGCTGTCAAATCTTTCAACGTATTCAACGACGTCAAAGGGGAGCCTGGAACAAGATTTCGGCGCCAGAGTTTTGCACCCTTCCTTAATCCAACACACGTTTGTGCGATCCGTTCCTGGGAAAGAAAACGCAAAGTTTTGAGTAAACTGCGTCCATTTTTTCTCATCCAGGATCATGGCAGTAACATAAGTGTGATCTGGCCATTATTTTATGTTACTGACAATAATTGTGATAGATATGTCCACCAATTTCTTACCAGCTGTTCCTTGTCCATCATAGTGCTGAGGATTGTTGTTAGAACCTTAAGAACCAAAAGAAATAGCAAAAATTAATTTTTGATGCAATTTTGGTACAACATGATATGCATGTGTCTGTACAATAAGAGTTTATAAATTAATGGGATGAGGATTGAGGAAATTGTGAAACAAAAGGATACAACGACAGTCGAAAATTTCTCTTTCAGCTACAGCTAATTTTTGCAGAAAAAGTTTTAATTCAACATGCTAAATAAAGGCTTTTCTTCATACCAGACCAGACGAAACACACAATTTCCTCTGTTGTGACAGTGATGCGTTCAGGAAAAAAACGATATTCCATGGCAGGATAGGTCTGTACAATGTTTCCTCTTTTTCCAATCCCCCCGATGTAACGAATGGTGCGATTCTGATGTTCCGGTTGCATTATGTTTCGCGGTTTAAGGAGGATCACATGACTTCTGTCTTGGAAGGTTCTCCCGACTTGTGCGGTATTCAAGGCCAGTTGTAGCTCTGTTTTATCAACGGATTTTGTTTTCGGGTTATTTTCGAGTCTGCAAATACAAAATCAACCGTCACGCAATGTTCTAAGCGCTGCTCTAAAATGTGTAAAGGCTAAAATTTGGAATTATTTAGGAGCTATTCTTCTTTACTTAGCCAAGTAGTACCTTCCATTCTAAACTGGTTCACGGGTCCCTTTTTAACTTGTGCTGTTAACTTACTGTAGATTTCCGTGTGTTGATTCTGACATTAGCTTGCCAAATTTGCAGCATGTTTCGAACACTTTTTTCTAAAGTCCTTAGTAAATCAAGAAATAAGAGCGCAAGATATCGACACCTACTTGTAATTATGAGAAGCATTGAATTCCCTTGGTACGTCATCAGTGGTGATGTTGTATCTAGAAAAACATAGATATATGTATATCAATCATTCACTGAACTGGGGGTAATAAACACTACTTGCACCGACACTGAGGTGAAAAATTGTTTTAGTATATATACCACACAGGAACCAAAAAAAAATCAGTTTTTTTCTGTCAATATACCAAAAAACGGTCGGAAATTAAATTGCTGACAGGGTATTTTGTCTCTTCGGCTGCTCGAAGATGATTAGCGCTGTACTTGCTAAAAACTTCCAAAACCAGCCAATCGGCACACACGTAAACCACTATTCACCTCTGTGGTCTATACAATTTGATAACATTTGAAGACAGTACAAACTGATGTAGCTTTTGGAAATTTATTCAGTCCTGTCACCAACTTGCTTAAGAATTTGAATTCGTGGACGAGTTAATAGAATGTGATTATCCATTGAAAGTAGGATGCTAAATATCAAACTTTTATAAAACATACATTTGATCTTTCTCACCTTAACCGTATAACACAACGCTGTGTTGTGTTGGATGGGAAGCAAGGGACCTTCCATTTGTAAGAGGAAAATTTGCCTTCCATGTTGATTCCATTGTGGTTGACGGCGGTAGATGGGGCGTAGATCACTTCAGGAGGTCTCTCGAGAAGAACAAACTGTTTCTTGTTATCACATCCTTGTGATATCTTGTGTGCTTCGTAGGGCACGCCTTTTGCCAGCTTCATGTCACCCACACCTTTACAAGTGCTCAATACTCCGGCAGTCCTCTCCAAGTAATTTGTGATGAACCCTGTCCAAGTTCCTTTGGCCGCTATACACCTGTCCCTGGTGATGTATTTGGCCACACATTTTTCAGCTACAACACCTTGGTTGTCTGGGGGGCAGTCAGTTTGATCTTTTAGCCCTTTTGGCATAATGCACATATCTAAAATGGAAAGTAAGAAATAAGTATCAGAGGAATACAAAACGATCATGATCGAGTATTGCTGGTGATATGCCTTACATTTGAGCCCATAATTGGAACTATTAACATATCTCTTCATCAGCTCCTCAGTCTTTCCATCGCTGACAAGGATAGCAATATCCTTCCATGGTGTGGGTCCCCAGTATGGATAGTAATCGCGTTCTTCAGGGACCTCCATTCCCCTTATGGTACCTTGACTATTCTGCCGCGTGTAAATAGGTAAATCGCCAGCAAGCTGCTGGTCAGCGGTGAACAAACCTGTAAAGGATAAAAATATTCTCTTTTAAAGACAGATAGATTCCTGGTAAAACACAATTTATTTCACGCAGATTTGGTGTTTTGAAATACAAATTGTCTAATTGTTCGATGTCTTTATACTTTTCTGATTTGTAAGATGGTTGCCACAGTAACGGTTCCCTTTGGGTAAAGAGAGGCTCAGAGAGGAGGAGAGAGAGAGAAACGGCAATCTTACCTTGTAAGATGGTTGCCACAGTAACTGTTCCCTTTGGGTGAAGACCTCATAAATACTAAACTAAAATTGATAGATAGAGGCACAGAGAGAAGAAGAGAGATAGACAGCAATCTTACCTTGTAAGATGGTTGCCTCAGTAACTGTTCCCTTTGGGTAAAGACCTCATAAATTCTAAACTAAGATTGATAGATAGAGGTACAGAGAGAAGGAGAGAGAGAGATAAACAGCAATCATACCTTTATTTCTATATCTGCGATAGTAGGCCTGATAATAGTTGTACGGCTCATGAAGTCCGTTATGTTTCGAAATTTGATTTGACTCTTGAGTCTGATCAGCAAATGTGTTAGACGTGGATGTTTGACCATTTCGAATGGTGTGATATTCGTAGTCGGCATCCACATCACCAGTGGGCATCTCGCCCCCCGGGAACGGCTGGCACATGTACTGTAAGATGACTTGTGTTTCCACCCTGTCGTCAGTCTTTGGTCCTGTTCCATGCTGATTTGTCCACATGATATCCACTTCAGTTTTTGCATGAGAGGAGCATCCGCTCATGTAAAATTCCTCAAAAAAACAAAAAAATTAAAATATACAACTTTGTTTGATTTTTTCAACTTTTATCAGATAATTGTAAAATATAGTGCATATGCACATCTAAAAAATGTACTTTGCTTCAGAAGGGTCGGGCACCTTACACACCTAGGATCCGTTCCATAGGAGTTTCTCGCGGTTTCTGTGGTGTAACTAAGAGTGTTGTTCCCCCGATGACAGGGCTTCCCCCCTCGGGCTTTTTACCTTGATTCATCTTCTCCCATACTCTGCACGACACTTTAGTATCATACATGTTACAAACCAAGCTAATAGCACCTAAGGTTTGCCTTGCCTTACCATTGGTTCTTGTCTTTTCTCGTTGATATTATCTCCGGGGTTATCATCATATTTGTCACCCACATTGTATCCGCACTTGTCGTTGTTCTAAAAACAAAGTAAAAAGAGATGAATGTTTTTTTTGTCAGAAGTTCTGACTCTACTAAGAAATAAACAGGTTGGGCTGAGTTGAGGTTAAAATTATATTAACCACATTTCTACCTAAAAGGTTTAGACCGCTCTCCCTTAGAAATCCCCAACTTTGAACTTCGGAACTTTAAGAGACAAATTGAATGCTCTCTAACGAGTTGATTAGACCCAAGATTTTTTAAGTTAACTTTCGTGCGCTCCTCCATGAGAAAGCAGATCCATTTACGGTCCAGGGAATTATGAACATAAAAACACCTACGACTACTGTTTGAGTAATCAAACGTTAAAGCCTTGAAATTATGAGGACATTTTAAGCTTCTTCTTTTAAGCTATATATGGCGTTCATCCAAGACTAAAACTAAAATGGGAAAGCTCTAGCCATGTGTAGATTGGTCTCGCGCCAATCACAAAATTTGAAATTTCAGACTAGCGTTATTTCTCCTTTTCAAGGAAGCAATACTCTAATATATCTAAACGTTTGGGCCGAAAAAAGATGTTTATATTTTAGGCTTTTGCAAGTAAATCAAGTCTTGGATAGGGGCGGCCTACCTGTGAATCAAAGAGTCTGGCATTGTTTGCAACGTTTTCACCCGCGCCATTCAAGCGATTATTGGATCCTGGCGGGAAATGCATGTATAAATCTGACTTGCAAGGCTTCGTATGAAGGGCAAGGAGACAAACCAAGATCAATAGCTTCATTATGTCTGGTGTAACTGAAAGAAACAAACTTTAAAATTGTCAAACTGAAATTGAGTGAAGATTTTAAAGTATATTCTCGAGTAATGCAATAATTCTCACTGGGGAAGTGCAATTTACGCCATTGCAGAAAAAGACAATTTCAATTTTTCAAAATAAAATTTATTTCAGAATGAATTATGATTGACTTTTGACTATGTTCTTTCAGAACGCTGGAAATTTTGAAAATTGCTTTCGATAAGTGTATACCATAAAACTTAATTATGTGTCACATAGAAAGAAACTAAATTTAGGGTCGTGAATTGCTTAGAGAATATCTACCTCGATGTCCTATGTGGCGCACGAAGTAGCTGATTTTCGCCCTTTTCTCGATAGCGGCTTGTCTTCCGTGTGCCTTGATGGGGTGTAAAGTAAACAAGACATTTCATTCTTCTCATTTATCAAGAAACATCTGTGTTACGTTTCTACATTGAGATAAAATAAGTCCTTCATTCCTTACCTTATGTCTTTTTAAACTTACTGTTTTAAAAGTACTATAACATTTACTGAACTTAAAGGTCTAAGACTGATCCTTACTGTTTCGAACTCATGAGCAATCTGCCCAACTAACTCTCAAAGCGTTGTTTTAAGAAAAACATTTAGAAAAGGCAATGTGTCTATTGGTTGCTGTTGACATTGTGAGCTCGCTGATTTATTGCGTTGGAGAAATGTCTTGGAGCACCTCATTAGCCAATCTATCAACTTTATTTGTTGGTGTTCGCGTTTTAATTTTCAAGACATTTTTCTAGTTATTCGTTTCGTCTAATGCTTCGGATGGTTTCTTAACGTCTACAATTTTTTTGCTTAGTGTAAAGCAATGTTTGAGCTTGTGCTTAAAGTTTCGTCTGCTTTTGCAGTGACAATTTCTACCGAAAGAAGTCAGGAACTGGCCAAGGCCTGAGATACCATACGTGGAAAGTAAATATACAAAGCGCGTGCTGTTGCTCATAGAAACTTTGCATTCTGAATAATATGTAAAGAAAAGTGTCTTTCATGTGACATATTACACTGACACGAACTAATTTAAACTGATTGCAGGTTAATGTTATTACCTTTGTTGCATAAACAATTTGGGCTTCTCTATGATGAAATTATGCGTTGCAGCCCTGGCAACTCTTTCTCTGAGTAAAGTATTGGCTCCCGGAAATTTTTACAAGGAATGTTTCGTAATTGCCCTGGCTATGGCTTAGAGTGTCTTTAGTTCAAGTTATCACTTGAACTGAATTATATGTATAGAAAAGTGTCTTTAATTCGTGGAACTAATTGCACTGACACGAATTAATTTCTGTGTTGCTCATAGAAAGTTTGCATTCTGAATAATATGTAAAGAAAAATGTCTTTCGTGTGACATATGACACTGACACGAACTAATTGATTGCAGATGTTATTATGTTTGCTGTATCTTCGCATAGGTTTGCGCACGTGATGAATGAATCGCGTGAGGCACTTTTTTGCGCTACACATGCAGCAAGTGCGAAAATAAACTACTGGAATATAAAGCTGAGAGAGAGCTTTTGGGTGCCCTGTGTATCCCATGTTCTTTTTTCGTATGACTCGAGCTCTTCTTAAGCGATTTCCTCTTCCCACCTTCGGCGATTTCAATAAACAATTTGAGCTTCTCTATGATGAAATTATGCGTTGCAGCCCTGGCAACTCTTTCTCTGAGCAAAGTATTGGCTCCCGGAAATTTTTGTAAGGAGTGTTTCCTAATTACCCTGGCTACGACTTAGAGTGTCTTTAGTTCAAGTCATCATTTATCTTTTACATCGAGTCCTGATTAATGGAGATCAGTACAAAGTATCATTGCAGAATTTCCTAAATTGTTCATAACGCGTTTCTGTAATAATCAAGGGCGCAAATTAAATTTATTATGAAACGATCAGAAAGGAAAACTCGCTAGTAGATCCTAGTTTGCCCAAACAAATACATGTCATTACCAAGTAATCAAACTTCTTTACTTCAGGATTTGTAATTTGTATTTGCTTTCCTTTAAAAAAGATCGCAGAAAGTTTCACCGGGCTACTTAAGATGGCAATGCCAAAAACCAACAACGCCCATATTGTGAACTGGTTCATAGAATGTATGTAATACTGGATACTTAATTCGAATTATTCTAAAAGGGGATCAATCAAAGGAGTTGGGATCATCGTTTGTCGTCTGATGTAAACTGATTTGATAAAAGCTTCTTTACACCAGAGATGAAAAAGACTGAATGAGACTCTTCGTAAATGCATGTTGATTAAGGGATTTTCATTTTTATTCTTAAGGAAGACTAGGATAAGACTGGGCTAAAGGGCTGATGAGATTTGAATTGAATCAGTGGCCAACATCTCGTACTGAGTCAGTGATACAGTACATCTAAATTTCTCGGGGAAACAAATCGGAGCTGAGTCTTGATGTTCTCACCGCACGCTAAGCATCAGAAGTTATATCTACAGCTTTGCATTTGTGTGGATACTGGCGGCAATAATGTTCCTTTTTTACTTCCTTTCAGTTTCAAAAATGCGATTCATCTTTCCAAATCCTCTTCCATAATTGTGGTATTAGTGACTTTTTTTTTTCCTTAGCGATCACCTGTGCCTCGTATGTACTCATTCGCCAACAAACGCGGCAGAATTTTCCAGGAATTCGAGCGCAGCAAAATAAGAAACTAAATAACACATTGTTAATTGAAACTGTCGTTTCTGCTTTCTGTTAGCTACCTATAATTATTTGTAGCGCTGTGTTTGGATGGTCTTCAATTGAAGATGTAGCCAGTGACCACTAATACTATACTTTACTAATTGTAAAGACTTTGCAATACTTCAACTCCATGGTAAATCCTATACTTTAAGCCTTTCAGTTACCTATGTTCAAATTAGAGCTTCAAAAATGCTGCTCTAAGTTTACTCCTTCGAAGGAATTTGACGACAACGTGAATCCTTATTAAGAGAGAGCCAGAGATTCCGCGCAACGAACAAATATGGACACCACTAATTCACATAACTATGATACTAAGCTATAACGTCTTAGTTTCTAAGAGTAGTTCTTAGATTTGATGGCCAACGGATGGCGTGGTAAATTTAATTTGTGATGAAGTGTCGTCCTTCTAACGACAGGTGACAATTCTACATATTTCTCCTCCTCGATAGCACTAAAATGAATAGGACTCCATGGAGCTAACTTTTGGATGGAGAAAATTAACTTGGATTGTAAATTACTAGCTACAGATTTTAAATTTATCCTTTAGACTCACAAGTTTAATTTGATGAAGGGTAGAAAAGTGTCGGTTTTCTTTTGACTTTATGGAGCTCGGCGATTCGCGATTCAGTAGCCAAATGGTTCCCAGGCTGAACATCAGCTAAAAAATACCGAGTTTAAGCCTTTAAGGTTCAGTGCGTTTTATTCCTGGGCAGGAGGACACTCGGCTTGAGTTCTACAATGCATCTATCCAGCCAGTGATATGAAAGAGTACAAGAAGAACTACTGGGAAGGGAGTGACATTTGATAGATTGGTATCCCCCAAGGAAGAGTACTATGCCTTGTGTAGTACTGCTAGGAACTCATCTATTTAACATCTGAAGAAAGAAGGAATATCTCAGAAATATTGAAAAGGCTCCGCTGAAGAGATAAAGCGCTGTCTAACGCTACTAATTAAGTATGATTTATACCCGGCAAGAGCACGAAGCGTAAAAAAAAAAATGTCTAATCTCGAGTTTAAATCTACTTTAGATGAGTCATGAATTACGACCTTATCGTCAACACATCATTAAGGACAAAAAAAATTATTTAAACACCAGGTGGGATGGAACACAAAAGAGGTTTTGTTCCTGAGGCTGAATGTTATTGCCTTTGTAAATGTAAATACTCATAAAAGAACTCTACTTTAATAAAAGCAAGTGTATTTTGTACTTGCAATTGCATTTATGAAAGGTTCTCTCTTGTTTGAATACCTTTTTATAACAGTGTTAGTCTAAATATACAGAATGTCATTCCAAATTGTAATTTTTAAATTACAGTTCTTAAGTAAATTCTTAATAAATTATTAAAAGAATTGACAGGAATTTTATCATTTCAGTTAAAGTTGCATCAAGTTTTAAGATCGATAAAGATTATAGAGCAAAAATTTCTTGAGCCAGAAGCGCAGACTGTAGAGGGGAGGATCGTAGCGTCACACTCTATCAAATTCTTTGGGCAAGTTTGATGTACATGGTTAGATGTGAGTTTAACCCGGTGTGGTTATCATGGAATAAACTTTAATGTTGATAAGCTGGCTCAGTGTGTGACTCTTCATATTTTGATTTAACATTTTTCTTACTTGGTGATAATTGCCTTCCATGTTGATTCCATTGTGGTTGACGACGGTGGATGGAGCGTAGATCACTTGAGGAGGTCTGTTGAGAAGAAGATATTGTTTCTTATTATCATATCCCTGTGAGATCTTGTGCGCTTGAAGATGATTAGTACTGTACTTGCTAATCACTTTCAACGCGTACGAAAAGCGCTATTCACCATTGTGGTCTATACAATTTAAAAAGATAGCACAAGCTGGTGTAGCTTTTGAAATTTATTCAGTCCTGTCACTAACTTGCTTAAGAATTTAAATTCCTGGACGAACTAATAGACTGTGGTTTCCCATTGAAAGTAGGGTGCAAAATATTAAACTTTTACAAAACATACATTTGATCTTTCTTACCTTATCCGTATAACACAACGCTGTGTTGTGTTAGATGGAAAGCAAGGGACTTTCCATTTGTAAGCGGAAAAATTGCCTTCCGTTGTGGTTGACGACGGTAGATGGAACGTAGATCAGGGACCTCAGGAGGTCTTTCAAGAATACATACTGTTTTTTGTTATCACATCCTTGTGATATCTTATGTGCCTCGTAGGGCACGCCTTTTGCCAGCTTCATGTCACCCACATCTTTACAAGTGCTCAATACTCCAGCAGTCCTCTCCAAGTAATTTGTGATGAACCCTGCCAAGGTCCTTTAGCCGCTATACACCTGTCCCTGGTGATGTATTTGGCCACACATTTTTCAGCAACAACACCTTGGTTGTCTAAGGGGCAGTCAGTTTAATCTTTCAGCACTTTAGACATAATACACATATCTAAAATGGAAAGTAAGAAATAAGTATCAGAGGAATAGAAACGACTATGATCGAGTATTGCTGGTGATATGCCTCACATTTGAGCCCATAATTGGGACTATTAACGTATTTCTTCATCAGCCCCTCAGTCTTTTCATCGCTGACAAGGATAGCAATGTCCTTCTATGGTGTGGGTTCCCAGTACGGATAGTAATTGCGTTCTTCGGGGATGTCCGCGCCCCTTATGGTACCTTGACAATTCTGTCGTGTGTAAATTGATAGATCGCCAGCAAGCGGTTGGTCAGCGGTGAACAAACCTGTGAAGGATAAAAACATTCTCTGTTACTGAACACATATCGATTCTTTGTAAAACACAATTTATTTCACGCAGATTTGGTGTTTTGAAACACAAATTACTAAATTGCTCGATGCATTTATACCTTTCTGATTTGTAAGATGGTTGCTACGATAGCTGTTCCCTTTGGGTAAAGACCTTCTAAATACTAATCTAAGATTGATGGGTACAGGCACAGAGAGAAAGAGAGAGATAGAAAGCAATATTGCCTTGTAAGATGGTTGCCACAGTAACTGTTCCCTTGGGTAAAGACCTTACAAATGCCAAACTAAGATTGATAGAGGCACAGAGAGAAGGAGAGAGAGAAACAGAAATCTTACCTTTATTTCTATATCTGCGATAATAAGCTTGATAGTAATTGTACAGCTCATGAAGTCCGTTATGTTTCGAAATTTGATGTGACTCCGGAGATTGGTCAGCAAATGTGTTAGAAGTGGCTGTTTGACCATTTCGAATGGTGTGATATTCGTAGTCGGCATCCACATCACCTGTGGGCATCTTTCCATCCGGGAACGGCTGGCACATGTACTGTAAAATGACTTGTGTTTCCACCCTGTCGTCAGTCTTTGGTCCTGCTCCATGCTGATTTGTCCGCATGATATCCACTTCAGTTTACGCATGAGAGGAACATCTACTCATGTAAAATTCCTAAAAGTTTTTCACAACTTTTACAAGCTAATTTTAAAATATAATGCACATGCATATCTAATAAGGTGTTTTGCTTCAGAAGGGTCAGGCAGCTTACACGCCTAGTGATCTGCTCCACGGGAGTTTCTTGCGGTTTCTGTGGCGTAGCTAAGAGTGTTGTTCCCCCGCTGACAGGGCTTTACCCCTTGGCCACGATTCCAGCATACTGACTATCAGTGTGCCTTACCATTGGTTCTTGTCTGTTCTCAGGGATATTGTCTCTCGGGTTATCATCATATTTGTCACCCACATTGTATCCGCACTTGTCGTTGTTCTAAAAAGAAAATAAACAGAGATGAATGTTATTATTATTTTTTTTGTCGGAAGTTCTGACTCTATTAAGAAAGAAATAGGTTTTGACTTCTCTATTAGAAATCCCCGTCTTTGAACTTCGGAAAACCTGCTAGACTTCAAGAGACAAATAGAATGCGCTCTGACGAGTTTGTTAGACCTACGAATTTCCGACTATTGTTTGAGTAGTTGAACTCTAAAGCCTTGAAATTATGGGAAGACATTTTAAGTTACTTAAATTAAAAATTTGGAGTTAATCCAAGACTAAAACTAAAATAGAAAAGCTCTAGCCATATTTAGACTGGTCTCGCTGCGATCACATAATTCGACATTTCAGCCGAGCGTTATTTCTCCTTTTCAAGGAAGCAATGCTCTAATATATCTAAACGTTTGGGCTGAAAAAAAAGGAGTTAATTTTTTTTAGGCTTGTGCAAGTAAATTGAGTGTTGGATAAGGGCGGCCCACCTGTGAATCAGAGAGTCTGGCATTGTTTGCAACATTTTCACCCGCGTCATTCAAGCGATTGTTGGATCCTGGTGGGAAATGCATGTAAAATCTGACTTGCAAGGCTCCATATGAAGAGCAAGGAGACAAACCAAGGTCAATAGTTTCATCATGTCTGATGCAACTGAAAGAAATAAACCCCAATATTGTTAAGGTGAAATTGCCGAGTTGATGGTTGTCACAGTCTATTCTGAGCAAACTAAATTTTTTGAGCTCTAACTGTATACTTTCAGAATGCTAGAAAATGAAAATTACTTGCAAAAAATGTTTACCATAAACGTAATTATGAAGACAAAAAATAAAGGGAATTGAAATTCAATTTCATGTATTTCGTACAGGATATTTGCCTCGAAGTCCTGTGTGACACACGGAAAATCGGTTCGTGTTCTGTGTGCCAGAAGAGAGTGTAAAGAAAAACTTTATTTTCTTCTGGTCACACCAAGACAAATTTATAGTAAGTTTCCTGTACTAAGATGAAATTATTCATCCCTTACCTTATATCTTTCCGTGTTAAAGCGGTTTAAACTGAAACTGTTATACCGTCGGCTGAAATATAAAAGGTCTAAAACTGATCTGAACTGTCTACAACTCCTCTGTAATCTACTCACCTCGCTCTCAGCCAGCAATGTTATGAGAAAACACCAGAAAAGGCAATGTTTCTATTGGTTGCTGTTGACATTATGAGGCTACTGATTTATTGCGTTGGAGAAATGTCTTTGAGAATTTCATTGGCCAATATGTCAACTTTATTTTTAGGTGTTCACAGTTTTATTTTCAGGATATTTTTCTAGTCATTCGTTACCTCTGATGCTTTGAATGGTTTCTTAACGTCTACAATTTTCAGGCTTAGTGTGAAGAAATGTTTCAGCTTGTGCCTAAAGTTTCGTCTGCCTTTGCAATGGCAATTTCTATCAAAAAAAGTCAGGAACTGGCCAAGGCATGAGATACCATACATGGAATGTAAAATATGCTATTGCTCATGGAAACTTTGCATTCTGAATAATATGTAAAGAAAAGTGTCTTTCATGTAACATATTAGATTAAATTAAATTAATTAAATATTAAATTTTGAAAAAAATATATAAACAGTTAGGTTGTCAGTGAAATTATCAGCAAGCAAATTTGTTGCATATCATGTAATTCGTTATTTATACAAGTAGGTTAATCAGAAGAGATGTTATGTTTACACGCAATTAATACACACAAAAAATGGTTTTATGGATTATTGATTGCAGTGTTTGGAGTTTTGTGTCTTGTGTCAGGTGGAGGACAAAAAAAAAAGGCTACAAAGAACTGGTTTGATTGTAGGTTTGAATGTATTATTTGCAGGTTTCCAAGAAAAAATTAGTTTGAGTATACCATTTCCTATGAACTATTGGCCTAACTATCCTGTATTCCATTAATTCCAGCAGTTTGTATTGCTATACACTGTAGTTCCAACTAGATATTCTGCAATCATCTCTTTAAAATATTTTCCATTCCATTTAATTTTTCTTCAAGTATCCTGTATCTTTATAATTTTGACCTAAATATTCTCTATCTGACTGAAACTTCATTGATTGACACATATCGATCACAAACCCAGCTCCCTCTATAAAAACGAAAAGAAAAATCCTCGCTCAAATTACTGGGCAAGAATAGATCGTTGTTGAATATGTTCGTAGCTTTTGGGTTTTTGTGGAATTTTGCATTTCTTTCTCAGCAAAACAAAGTAGCACTTTTTATACTGTTGGTAGAGTATCAGCAGGCTTCTAAGTGGCTACTATCAGCTTTTAGATGCAGGAGACAAAGCTGGAAATAGGATATGAAAAGCCAATAATGAATATAAGATGCAAATATCAATGAATTTAATTGATGGCTTGTCAATCAAAAGAGGCAAAGAAATGACTGTGTTTTTATTTGATTCATCTAATATTTAATAACTTTGAAGTCAACTATCTCTCCTTGCCAGAAAGCTACGACACTAATTTAATTACCCTTTATAATCCATCATTTCATAAATTTGCGACTATGACTTGAAGCTTCTATCAACTACACCTGTCACGCAATTCTGGCTCTCAGCGGTCAGTTGGGCCAATAATTAACAACTGCTTCATACGTCAGCGTGCGTTCTTCGAGATATGAAGCACGCAGGAAGTTTGGAGAGCACGAAAGATGCATAAGAGTTTCTCAAGGGGTAACCGAGAGCAACTCTAGCTTCTTGAGTGCACTCCAAACTTCCCAAGTGCTTCATACCTCGATGAACGCACAGCTGACGTATGAACAAATTGTTTTATAACATTTTCAACCCGATGGAAAATTTTTTTCTCGAGGGATATGTTTGCTGACGTCATGAGCGTGCACAATAGGAATATGAAGCACGCTCGTGCAATTGAATTTGATTACACAAATTTACTAGCTATGTTATAAACCTCTATATGTTACAGCTCGTTATCCATGATGGTTGATTAAGGAAGCTAAGAAATGTGAACAATTTTCGAGATTTTTTTTTAAGGAATGGAAATTAATTTCACGTCGAGAGAGATGCGTGTAGGCGAAATGTCGATGGGAAATCGTAGTGTTTCTTTCTTTTGTCCTTTGTTACTTTGGAGATTTACTAAAATCAGCAAATATGGCTTTTGTACGGCACAAAACATTCATTAGTCTATGATTTGTTACCGCTCATTTCAGGAGATTTTAAAGTCACATGCGGAGTGTTGGTTGACATACAAGTTCCCTGTGCAACAACTTCGGCTTTAACAGCCGCGAAATTCTGCCCTCTTGCTTGAGAGAAAATACCAATAGTTCTTTTACATTCAAAAACTGTGCTACTATTCCAGAGATAAAACTAAAATAGTGTTGTCGTTGATACTTACCGCCATCGAACACTTCAATGCAGAACTCCGCCAAAACTAACATGTGCATCACGATGTGCATCGTGACCCGAATACTTTTCGCTGTTCATGCTGTCTGCTAGACAAAAATTTCAGAATATTCTGCAGGTCTCTATATGTATCTGCTTACCTCGATCGTAAAATATCTTCCTTTTTTTAAAAGCATCCTATATCTACATGTAAATCTGCATCTCTCTCGATCGAGTGTTGCCGACGTTGACTTACCGACTTTGAATTGCGTGACTCAAAGAATGAGCCAGCAATATTTTGACCAGTAGGCTTCCTGCAAATTTCCTGTGATGAAAAAATCCGAGGACATATCCAGTTGTTTTCATGGGTAAAGACGATAAATTTGAGAGGAAAGTGAGATGCAAAGGTCTGTATTTATTTTATAGCCTGTGGCAGCTGCCAGCTGTACCCTCCCTTGCAGTCTTCGTCTAAATTTTTCAAGATCCCTTCTGATCTTCTGCCTTGTTCGCTCAGTTTCTGAAACTAGATCATCTGCATCAACCTCTTCGTCCTTACTCATACTTACAGAGAAAAACTTCTTCAATAAACCAGCTTTTGTCAAGGCAGATATTCGGCTGAAGTATCAAGCGATCTGCTGCTCTATCAACCAGTCTGTCCTATACAACATTTCTGGCCGGTGTCGTCTCTTAAACTCCATATTTGAGAAGCCACACTTCTTACTAGTTTCCTCCCCTGTCCGGCACACGTTTGGAAGATACTTCTCAGCTTGCTTTCTGAGAAAAAGGCATAAGCTTTTTGTGTTTTCCAATGGGCCCATCCAAAGCGGTCCACCTGGCTAGTAAGGGATTGGTTGTCAGAATTTTTGCCTAAGGTCCGACCTTGTGCCTCCGTCTATTTCCTCTTGCTCTCATCAAAGGCGGATTCTTTTGCCAGCTTCAATTTGTGTCTTCCTATGTTAAGGTGCTTTTGGAAGGCAGTAAATATGACTGTAACGTTTTGATACATCCTTCCTCTTGGAAAGAATATCTCGCTTTCTTCTTCTGCCTGTGACTGATTGAGTAGTTCTCGCGATGGCCCGGGTTCAGAGATCTGTACACGTTGCTGATAACCACCCGCTTCTACGATTAGTTAGCCGAAGGCTTCTAGTATGATAATCCTAGTGAGGCCCTCGAGGTGCTCCAAACTGTGCCAGCTAGTCTGCGCTATAAACTTGTCGCAGTTCCAAAGTCAGAGGGAGGATCGCCCGCCTCCAAACTGTTTATGTGAGCGCTTCTACCGTATCTGCATATCCCTGGCAGTCATATCACAAAAAGTTCATCGCAGTCAACACTCACTAGTTAGGAAAATTGATATTCAGGTAAGCGCCCTTCTTGCCTTTCTTCCTAATTCATTGACTCTAAGATAACATTCACAGTATGCGTTCTATAAGGTTTACAGTCACTTTGCCACCTGGCAGACTCGCCACGAGCTTTGATTTCTTCTGCCATCTTAAGATTTACCTCTCTCTCAACTTTACGTCTTCGATTTTTATGAGGAGGATACTAGCACTTACGATCCCGAAAGTCTGAATCACACACCAACCTGTGCACGATATTTGAGGCATATCGTGAAATCGTGGCCTTCGTAATCTCCAAATAAGCCAATACGAGCTAGAGTAAGCTTCTTCTCGGACGAAATGCATGTTTGGAATACATTTACGTCTCTTAAGTTTTCTTTTATGTTGTACACCCACGAATTAAGGGTATGAGCTGTTGTCCCCCTGGCTAGCGCGAAAAAAATAACATTTGGTTTTACAGTCAGTTGTAAATGAACAAGACAACTGCGCCATCTTGACTTTCTCGATTCGAGTTTTAGGTTGAATTGAGGGATTTTTAGACACTCGCTCACTTATGTAGCATCACTATGAGGACGCAATACAACTGATACACGTACACTGCATAGGATCAATACTATCTGCTGAGCTGCTGCGAGAGAGGGGAATATATTACTAGATGTCTAAACTCTTTGACAGTTACATGACGTTTCAGAGTTGTCTGTCTCCTACTGTCACCAAACATTGACCCCTCTCAAATTTTGTTGCATCGCAGTGAGAGCTTCATACATTTTGCCCATTTTGAAGCGATTTCCCTGGTGAAAACGAGAGAAACCAGGAGATGGTCTATCCTCCCCCGGAAAGAACCAAAACCGGAAACCAGTTTGTCTGTTTGAGTTTTGGGGTAGACCCTTTAAACTGGCAAAGTTTCATTGAAACCAGTGAGATGACATGTAGCAAGACTGTCTGGTGCTCTCGTGGACACACTCTCAAATTTTTGCCTCCGGATATTTCATTTCTAGTGTTCTAATTTTTTCACTCACCTCAGGTAATCAGCTCATATATCGAATCACCTTCTATGGAAAATATTCACCTAACTGTTGCTAAGCACTGTTGCTAAGTTCCTTTTTACTTACGCCTCTGTGCATTGGAAGTAAAGTAAAATGCCCAAGAAATTGAACTTGACAGTAACGTTTCATGGTCTAGAAAAAGCGCAACACTACCAGAACAGAAAGAAAAGCCAGTTACCTACAAAATTTCAGAACGACTTCAAAATTTTGCGCAGAAATTTCTTATTAAAAGCTTTTAAAATAACTGTGAGAACTGTTGCGGGCTAATTGGTCGAGAGCAAAAAGAATAAAAAATTTATCCAGCAAACTGCTTACTACTACATGCGCTCTTTGAAGCAGAATGGAGTGGGGGAGGGAAGGAGGTTGGGGCAAGTAGGTTGGGGTAGGAATGATCGATGTTCTTGATTCATAAGAAACATAACTCACAGAAAGGTTTCCGAACAAAACCGGCCAGAATCCATCTCTTTAATTTCCTTTTTTAAGCAGAGCGAAGTGGAGGAGGGAAGGGGTTTGGGACGAGTAGGTTGGGGTAGGAATGAGAATTCCCCATGCACTGATACTAATAGTGCAGGTATATTAACGTTCGGAATAATTAGTGTGATGTTAAACGCCCTTAGAAATAGCTAGAGAAGGAGACGAGAAGGACACCATATCAAGAAAACGTGACATGATCGAACCTTTTTTCGTGCATGCAATCACTTTTTCATGCCTCAAGAATGAAATTAAAGTCATTTACATCAAATGAAGGGATGAAAAACTCGTTTGGCTCCCATAATACGATCATTTGACGCTATATCTAGTGATACATGTATTAGGATTACTATTTGACACTGGAATGCTGATCACCAGAACTTCATCGCCAAAATTTTTTTGATTGTAGGACGAGAATCAAGTCACATGGGTGGAGGAGAAACGATCAGAGAAATGCAAGCCTTAACAATGAACAACGGTGCTTTCTGTTTTACTCTGTAACCTGGTTAAAACAGACGCTCACGATATTTTCTAAGATTTCTCTCAAGCTGTCTTTTATTTTAGCGTCTTTGGAATTACTACATAATCCCTTAGTAAAGTTTCCTAAAAAAGAGGAGTGTATAAAAGTGTGGTAAAAACAAGAATATTTTTATTCCCAAACCAACTTTCTGACAATAACCTGACTTGAAAACGATTGAATCACCATGAAAAAAATTAAAACGTATCAAACATTACGATGCGTAAGTGACTTATTGAACCAGTTTCAAAATATTGCTGCAGTAACTTTTGCACTTCATAGTAATACAATTCTTGACTTTGATGGCTTTTTCCATGGTCCTATTTAGAAATCCATGTATTTTTCAGTCTTTTAAGCACTAAGAAGTGGTACTGGAAATGACCATAAGGAAAGATTTTCTTTCAAGACTTTTTGTCAAAAATGTAGGATTCTGTGAACGAAACCTATAACGAAAAAATTAAAGGCTTTGAGAGAAAACCCTTTAAGACAATTGGCTCATTTTTGATGCTTAAACTACTGTTTCAACTTTCCTGATTTCACTTTAATTAAGAGCCCTTCGTCAATAATGTTTCGTGCTACTTGTATCGGCCGGATAAGATCGTTTTTGCGCAGAATAAAATCTCTCTCGAATACGTAACCAATACCTCCTTCTGAATTGTAATATGGCCGCACCTAAGTTTGACAAAAGAAAATATCTTATCTAATATTGCGATGTTTACGGCCTTGACCAAATAACTGAAACGCAAAAAAATTATAATTAATATGCTAATTTTTAATTCCAAAGAGGGGTCTCACATATAGGCATCAGCGATCACAGTCTTTTTCGTAATTACACAATAAAATAACCCTGAGATATAGGAAATTTTTTTAACTCTGATTCGTATTTCAACAGGATTTATCCATTTAAAAATGTCTTGGAAACAACTATCTGTTTCCTTCCAAATATTCTCATCCCTTTTCCTACAACAAACGTTAAAGAGATAAAAAAAGCATTATAAATAAACAGTTATTTAAAAGGCGCAATATTATAGGCAAATGTGCATTTGTATAAAAGAGCTTAGATGAAAACGAAGGCAACTGGCCAGACATGGAGATTGTAAATGCGCTTGTCTAGATTCTATATTTTACATAAAAGAAATAAAAGCAACGCTAACTGGGAGAATCAATTGTTACTATTTGAAAGAAACCAAAAAAAAAAATGGTATAAAACTAGCCTTGGTATTCAAGGTGACAAAGGATTCCCGCCGACAGTCAGAGACCAGTAGGTCATAGCCACCTTCACATCTAATTTAACTTTCATTTATGAAATACCTGTTCTCACCGAGTCTTACCTCTGCTTGTCAAACTCGAGCCTCACATCATCTCCAATCAGCGTAAACGAAGCTTTACACTCAGAAAACATTTTTTCCAACCAGCCGTTTTTTCGCTCATCCACTTCATGGTTTGTTGGAGGCCACAAACAATTGGGCCTTCAACATTGATGAAGGGATTCAATGCACTTTTTCTCCTTCAACAAGGTGTTTGTAGAATACATTCATTAGCTGTCTCCGAATTGCTAAGTCTGGAATGGCCCACAGCGCAACTAACACCGAGCGAGCACCAGATCCTAAGAACGCACGGGCAATTCCTATAACTCCCTCGGCTGTTATCTCACCTCTTCCACTATGACAGCAGCTAAGTACCACCAGTTTAGCTCTGACTTTCACTCGTGAGACATCAGCCATCGTCAACATGTAAGCTTCCTAATTGGATGGGATAGCATTTTGACTGTTCATAGGTGGGAACATAATTAAACAATAGGGGAGAGGGCACATATTCGAAAACCTTTTGGGCGTTGCCATGGGCAGAAAATGTATCAGGCATCACTGAACCTATCCGCTCAAGCACCGCCTGCTTAGTTCAACCGTACTTTAATTCTACCAGAGGCGGAACACGCATCAGTCGTCCAACCATCTCCGCTTCCCTTCTTGCACATGGCAATGACACAAGGCAGCCTCTTTTTGTGCAACTTTGGGATTGCCTATTATCAAGGCACCATGTGTTGCTGTGATAGTCTTGCGCCCGACTATCTTGAATATGATCCTCCATATTGTCTAAGGAAGGAAAACAAACTACTGTTCCATTGCCTCGCATGAATCTCCGCTTTAGCTATAACGGTGCGGTTATATGGAATCTTGTCCCTCCTTTTCAAGCAAAATCACTTCAATCCTTCCGAAATGGTTGTCGCAACTTTCTGAATCGACAAAACACACACGGCATCTATGAACGATGACCTTATTTTTTTCATTTTACTTTTAAATTTTAGATCATGTTTATATAGATTAAAATAGATTGTAACTGTAATAATAGATTGTAATAATATTATTATTTTATCTGATAGATTTACCGTGTCTAAATAAAAATAAAGTTCAAGTTCTCCACGAGTCGCAGTCTTGCTGGGATCTTTTGTGCAGGGGGAAGAGGTTGCACTTTAATCGTATTTAAAGACCGATCTTCACAATCTTTAGGGGGCAAAATACCAAGACTCCGGAAATTATCATCCAAAAATTGACTCAAAGACAAATCTTTGGGCAACCCAGCTTGAACTAGATTCTCTTCTACTGATATTCTTCTATAGTGAAGGATTCCACTTGTTTTCAAGATCCACAAATGCAGAAGATTCTGAGAATAAGAAATGTACAGACAAGTACAGTTATTTTTCTTCTTAAAATGTTCTCAATGCCAAACCAAGATTGTGGATTAGCAAAAATGTGCGTTTCAACCGAGTACTTCTCTGCCATCAAGTCTGATAGGCCTCTAGCTCGACCCAACTCCTCAACATAAAGAGCATCCCGAGCATTTCCGGTATCACAGAGCAAAGTACAAAGCAGCTTGTAGGGAAATATTCCTGAGTGTTCCAGAAATGATGTTTTGAACTCATCATTGGCGCCCAAAAAATATCTCAGCTCTTCATGCTTTTGAATGCACAGATGAAGACACGACAGGGAGTCTTTGATTTTATTTTGAAATAAATACAAAATGGCGTAGGCTTGAAGGATTTCGAACTCTCCTCTTCCATATCCAATATCTCTGGATATGAATAAAGCTTTCTCCAAGCATCCTTCCGAAGCTTCATAATCACCAACAGTTCTACACATATTTCCAAGGTTTGCAAGATTTATTGCTTCCCCTTGTCTGTCGCCAATTTCAGTTGTGATGACAAGCGCTTTTTGGAGATACTCTTTAGCCTTGTCGTATTGGCAAAACGACTCAAACACAGTACCTAGGTTTCCATAACACGATGCTTCCCCTTCTCTGTCGCCAATTTCAGTTCTGATAACAAGCGCTTTTTGAAGATGCTCTACAGCCTTGCCGTATTGGCCAAGCGAAACAAACACAGTACCTAGGTTTCCGTAGTCAGCTGCCTCCCCTTTTCTGTCGCCAATTTCAGTTCTGATGACAAGCGCTTTTTGGAGATACTCTTTAGCCTTCTCGTATTGTCCAAGCGACTGAAACACAGTACCTAGGTTTCCATAGTCAATTGCCTCCCCTCTCTTGTCGCCAATTTCAGTTGTGATGACCAGCGCTTTTTGGAGATACTCTTTAGCCTTCTCGTATTGGCCAAGCCATTGAAACACAGTACCTAGGTTTCCGTAGTCATTTGCCTCCCCTCTCTTGTCGCCAATTTCAGTATTGATGACAAGCGCTTTTTGGAGAAACTCTTTAGCCTTCTCGTATTGGCCAAGCGACTCAAACACAGTACCTAGGTTTCCGTAGTCATTTGCCTCCCCTCTCTTGTCGCCAATTTCAGTTCTGATGACAAGCGCTTTTTGGAGATACTCTTTAGCCTTGTCGTATTGGCCGAGCGACTTAAACACATTACCAAGGTTTCCATAACATGATCCTTCCCCTTGTCTGTCGCCAATTTCAGTTGTGATGACAAGCGCTTTTTGGAGATACCATTTAGCCTTGTCGTATTGGCCAAGCGACTGAAACACAGTTCCTAGGTTTCCATAACATAATGCTTCCCCTTTCCTGTCGCCAATTTCAGTTCTGATGACAAGCGCTTTTTGGAGATACCATTTAGCCTTGTGGTATTGGCCGAGCGACTTAAACACATTACCAAGGTTTCCGTGACATGATCCTTCCCCTTGTCTGTCGCCAATTTCAGTTGTGATGACAAGCGCTTTTTGGAGATACTCTTTAGCCTTGTCGTATTGGCCAAGCGACATAAACACAGAACCTAGGTTTTGATAACATAATGCTACCCCTTGTCTCTCACCAATTTCAGTTCTGATAACAAGCGCTTTTTGAAGATACTCTACAGCCTTCTCGTATTGGCCAAGCGACATAAACACAGTACCTAGGTTTCCGTAGTCATTTGCCTCCCCTCTCTTGTCGCCAATTTCAGTTCTGATGACAAGCGCTTTTTGGAGATACTCTAGAGCCTTGTTGTATTCGCCGAGCGACAGAAACTGAGTACTTAGGTTTCCGTAGTCAGTTGCCTCCCCTCTCTTGTCGCCAATTTCAGTTCTGATGACAAGCGCTTTTTGGAGATACTCTTTAGCCTTGTCGTATTGGCCAAGCGATTTAAACACATTACCTAGGATTCCGTAGTTATTTGCCTCCCCTTTTCGGTCGCCAATTTCAGTTCTGATGACAAGCGCTTTTTGGAGATACTCTTTAGCCTTGTCGTGTTGGCCAAGTAAATGAAACACAGTACTTAGGTTTCCATAACATAATGCTTCCCCTTGTCTGTCGCCAATTTCAGTTGTGATGACAAGCGCTTTTTGGAGATACTCTTTAGCCTTGTCGTATTGGCCAAGCGACTTAAACACAGTACCTAGGTTTCCATAACATGTTCCTTCCCCTTGTCTGTCGCCAATTTCAGTTGTGATGACAAGCGCTTTTTGGAGATACTCTTTAGCCTTCTCGTATTGGCTAAGCGACACAAACACAGAACCTAGGTTTCCATAGCATGATGCCTCCCCTTGTCTGTCGCCAATTTCAGTTGTGATAACAAGCGCTTTTTGAAGATACTCTACAGCCTTGCCGTATTGGCCAAGCGACACAAACACAGTACCAAGGTTTCCGTAGTCAGTTGCCTCCCCTTTTCTGTCGCCAATTTCAGTTGTGATGACAAGCGCTTTTTGGAAATACTCTTTAGCCTTGTCGTATTGGCCAAGCGACTGAAACAGAGTACCTAGGTTTCTGTAGTCAGCTGCCTCCCCTTTTCTGTCGCCAATTTCAGTTCTGATGACAAGCGCTTTTTGGAGATACTCTTTAGCCTTGTCGTATTGGCCAAGCGACACAAACACAGAACCTAGGTTTCCATAACATGATGCTTCCCCTTGTCTGTCGCCAATTTCAGTTGTGATGACAAGCGCTTTTTGGTGATACTCTTTAGCCTTGTCGTATTGGCCAAGCGACACAAACACAGTACCTAGGTTTCCGTAGTCAGTTGCCTCCCCTTTTCTGTCGCCAATTTCAGTTGTGATGACAAGCGCTTTTTGGAGATACTCTTTAGCCTTGTCGTATTGGCCAAGCGACTTAAACATAGTACCTAGGTTTCCATAACATGATGCTTCCCCTTTTCTGTCGCCAATTTCAGTTCTGATGACAAGCGCTTTTTGGAGATACTCTTTAGCCTTGTCGCATTCCCCGAGCGACTGAAGCAACACTCCAAGGTTTCCGTAACAGGATGCTTCTCCGCTTCTGTCGCCAATTTCTGTTGTTATGGCAAGGGCCCTCTCAACATATTCCTTCGCTTTTAGGTTTTCACCAAGTTTATAAAGCATAATTCCAGACTCGCTGTATAAGTCAAACAGTTTCCTCCCGTATCTTTCCGCACTTATGTCGTCAGAGATATGACGATAAGCGCTGAAAAGAACGGTATAGATGTCGCTGTAAAATTGTAGCAGTACTGAATCAAATTGGTCTTTGCTGTTTTGATCGGTGCTACTTAGCAAAATCAAACATTCGCTGCATATCTCAATGGCTTTCTGAATGCGATCTGAGTTGAGCAAGAACAGGGCAACAAATAAGGCGATGCTCATGAAAGGTGTCATGGCTTCTGCTGTTAGGTTTCCATTGCCATCCTCTCCTGTAATCAGGGAAACATTATTTTAGTAACACATTACTAAATGAGTCGATAATCTGGATTAATAACGAGTCACTACAAGCAGGAACACACATGTTAAGTTACAAAAACGGGCTGGGTCGATTACACCCGGAAACTATTTGTAACAAGCTGAAAGTGTTAGAATTCACAATATCCCCTTAAAACAGAAAAAATAAGTGAAGATAAATAAGTTTGTCACCTTTCATTTTACTCAAGTTGTGATTTTTGCAGAACATTACATGACTTTAAAGTTTCAGGACAAAGATAAACAAAACTGACAGCATTTATCTTAACTTTTGCAATGGGAACTTTTCTTATGCATAGTTTTTATAAACAACATTAATCAACGGGGTAAGTTTTTAAAGAAACTTTGGTGGGGTATTACAAAACTATTTGGCTTTACCAACTTAGTTGACGATGTAAATTGGCCATCATAATGAGTTTCTGAAGGTGACGTTTCGAGCGTTAGCCCTTCATTAGAGCATTTGATAATCTTGAGGAATCAATGATGTTGTGTTGCCAGTATTCCGCAAAGAAACCAGTAAAGAGTGGTCTGCCGTATAAATGTAATGCTTCGTTTTCTATCTGCATTTTTACCGGCCGTCAGAACGTATTTACAATAAAGCGTCTTGGAATCAAGCTACATGCATTCAAGTTTTAAGCGTTTCAATTCTTAGGCTAACAAGAGAGATAACCTTTTACAACAACTCTCTGGAAGATTTCTTGACATTCCACAATATGACATGGAATATTTGAAAATATTGTGAGGCCTCAGAGGTTTGACGAACTCCGGCTTTGTAGCAAATTCATTTCATTCGGTGGCGATTTTTGCACAACATAACATGACTTAATAGTCACAGGACATGACACGACTAAAAAAACAAAAAAAAAAGATTATGGACAAGATTATAGGAAATCAGTCAAGTAACGTTCTGTTCCCCACAGAAAATACATTACCTTTCTTCGTGAACTTTCAGCGTCATACGCGGACTTATCTTCTTACGCAAGACTTTGACGCTTTAACAAGAAGAGGTTAAGTTAATTATTAATGCAAATTACGACCACTGGAAAACCACGAAATCTTATCCTATGACATCAGCAGCGGAGTAAGTAGATTTGCTTTTTAAAAAAAATTAATAGTATAATCGTCAAAACCATCATTTTCTGCAGTTTTTATCCAAAAAGTTTGTTATCAGACAGGTCAGTGAGTCGATCAAACTATCAAACAGTTAAACAATTTACGCCTCCTTTGTCAGTCTTTTAATGCAAATGTTTTACTTTTCTTTCATAACCTGGATGTTCTTCTTTTATCGGAAATTGTCATTTTTATGATTGATTGGTAATAAGACTTTGTGTCGTCCAGTTCAGTCTGTAATCATACTCGCGATAAACAAATCGGACTCCCGCTGCGCAGTCGTCCGACTTTGACATCAATGGTATGATTACAGACTCTTCTCAGTTCTATTACCGGTACGTATACGTGACCCTCCACGGGGTGTCAGGGAATTAGGTGAACGCACGTACACGGCACGTTATAACACGCTCGCACGCTAACGGCATGACACACTTATCGCGCAGATATGCGCATAAGAACAATTGATTTTGAAAAGCAAGTTGTAGCTATTGTTCATATCTGGCTAACGCAGTAGAGCTTTCCTTCTATGACACGCTTTTTTTTTTTTTTTTTTTTTTTTTTTTTTTTAACACGCTAAGTTCCTTTGTGTCTTATCACACTAGCTTATCTTGTAAAACCCGGCTTACTTTGTTACTTGTGTTTGTCAGCTTCTTAATAAATTATTGTGAGAATGGTGTTTGTAAAGTATATTACTCACCGAATATAAGCGAATATGAAGAAGATCTTCTGTCCTATCCGAAAGTTGTAATAAAAAAGGAAACATTCACGGCAAATCACGGCTCTTTCCCTCAAGATTTTCACAAGGAATTCAGTGAGCACGAAGTGTTTCACAAGGTTCAGAGGAGCTCAGTTTGGACACATGAATTACTTTGTTAAAACTCAACTCTAATCTTTTAAAATATAAATCCTTATCGCTTCACGAAGTTAATAAGCCCAGTACTGAGTCCTTGTGAATACTTTAGCAACATATTTCCCGCTCCACGTCCTCTACGCGGTCGCTGTTCGTCACTCTATGCAAACCGGCATTTTTAAAATAAATAACTGACCGCAAGTTAGCCGGCGCAAAACGAAGCTTTCCGAGCGAAGCCGCGTATTATTTACTGTACACTGATCTTGGCATCTTACGAGCTAAGAGGTGTGTTATAAAATTGGCACGGTCACCGTGTTATATCGTGCAAAGTTGCGAGCAAGATCTTAACACGTTTCATTGTTTCTACCGTGCGAAGCAAGACAATGGCTGCGAAGTTAATGAGACAAGTAACTTACACGCAGCTAACGTGTTAAAGGCACGTTCTTTTGTTTTAGCGTGCTAGTGTACCGCGAGCGTGCGTTCACCTTCTTCCCTGAAATCCCGTGATGGGTCACATACATGTATGATCATAGTGAATTCAAGTAAGTTACTTAGTTGTTATAGCTGATGAAAAACCGGGTAAGATAAACCAGTCGCGGTCAGATAAAGTTTAAGAAATACTGTAATTGGTCCTGTTGGGGGCCAAAAAGATAGCCCAAATTGTTCAGCAAATTTCACACGTACCATAGAGGGTCTTTTTGTTCACGACAACGTTCCTAACTTGGAAGATGAAAGTGTGTGTGTTAGTCTAATGATTAAAGGTGGAAGATTTAATGAGCGATCAGATGATGATGCTATAGACCAAGGTCCTTTAAAAGAATCCGCTGATAACTTGACTTATGAGAAAGACTTCAAAACTGAAAAAAAAAATTGGACAGCAAAACTGAATGCGAAATTCGCAATGAAGAATGACACCAGCAGTTAGAAAGGCTATGGAAAACAGACTTTGAAAACACAGAAGTAGAGACCAAAGTTTGCGCACCAGTCGAAGATAAGAGAGCCTTTTAGATGATGGAAGGGATTCTGCAGCAAGTCCATGGACACTTTCAAGTTACTTTGCCCTGGCAACACGACCCACCATACAAACTCAACAACAAGGTGATGGCAGAGCGAAGAGCTCTGTTTTTGAAGAGGTGTCTTATGAAGGAGCTTTCATGCGCAGCTTTCATCGGAGTAGTTGTGTGGCGAAAATTTCAAGCCCGCGGGGAAAGTCAAGAAGCACAGCACCTTATGGATTCTTGTGGGATAAGCTGTTAAGAAATTTCATTTCAAAAGCCATAATGCCATGACATTTTTTCCATTTGTTTTTTAGAAGGATGTTTAAGAAACTTTCCTATTCACAGAGGTGTGAGCATTACCGCTGCGCAAATAAAACGTAAAGACTACGGATTGAGATCCTGACAAGAAGTAAAAGCGTAAAACTTGCACGTTTATTATCATTGTTACACAGGGTGATCTTTGCTTACACCAGCGTTCCTTGATAGATAAAGTAACAAATACCTTCAAACGAACTGACCTGAGTGTAACTGATTTGAAACCATCTGGGTTGAAATTATTAACACTAAAGCTAAAAAAATCTTTTATCGTTGCGCCTATTTGCACCCATCTTTCAATCCTGTAAGGTTTAAAGAAAATTTTGAGTCAATTTTATCTCAGTTATCAAGAGAAAATAGGAATATCATCCTTACGGCAGACTTTAATATTAACCTATTAAACTGCGAAAGCCATCCGGAATCCAATGATTTCTCGCTGATGCTGAACTCTTATTTTCTTCTTCCCTATATTTTACAACCAACCCGTATCACTGAAAGATCTGCAACCCTAATCGATAATATATTTTAAAATACTTATGCTGCAAAGGGATTTAGTGAAGTTAAAGAAGTACAACTACACCTCTTCTCAGACACTTCTCGTCAATGATATCCAGCCGTCATTTACCTCCATTTGAAAGATGTCACCAACCAAGTTCACTGTGCATTTGTCATGGGAAAAGCAAGATGAGGTCTCATAAATGAAATTTCAATTCCAAGATTGGAACTGAAACCGTAGAAACTGGTAGGGACTATGATGTGCAAATGTTAACTCACTCACTGAGTCACTCTGTGTAGACACTGCCGTAAATAAGTTTCTTTGATCTAGTTTTTTGGTTCGTTCATCTCGTCACGCGATATAAAAGAAATCGTATGATTACAGACTCCATTCAGTCCTATTACCAGTACATTTCACTCGCTCACTGACTCACTCTAGTTTGAGACTGTTGGGTATAAGTAACTTTGATCTCGTTTTTTTATGATCGAAACAGAACTTACGGTTTTACTGATCACGTGAGGAAACTCGAAAACCTTTTTGTTCCGGCCTTCAAAACGTATATGTGATGAAACTTCCTAGGATCGAGCATCCTTATTTCTTGTTCATGGTAACAACAAAATGAATGAATTACAGCCGGGACTTTTCCCAACCTTCAGAACTTCCGCTGTCACAGTGTTTTGGGCATCCAGATCACGTGTGTTTAAGAATATTCCTTTCCCCCATCTGGGCTAATCGAAATGAAAAGGAAAACTTTTAATTACAGAATTTATACGTGCTTGTATGCCCGTCTATTGCGTCCTATTTAAGTTGAAATTTTCAACAGCTAGTGGTCATATGATAAAATGCTTATTGACCGAATTTAGTGGGCCGGACGGTAAAATATTTGGCTCTAGGTCATGAAGCAAGGACCTTACTGCGCTCGGTCCGTAGGTCATGACCCCGAGCCAAATATTTTTCCGGCCGGCCCTACCACTCAATCAATAAGTACACAGTATTTCGATTTTGTAGGTCACACATTTATTACTCATGATTTAATTAAACACAGAAAATGAAAAGCGTCATTTCTTGAATAGGGAACGACAGGCTTTAGTGTTTACCCTTTGAAATGTTTGATTTTCATCACATGATCTATCACAGTACAACTTGAGTAAGT